GTGGCACGGCAGACGTCTAAACGGTATTCTACCTCTTCCCATGTCCTGGCGAGCATGTCTGGGGGGACGGTTGCCACACAATTGACTATTCGTTCCCTGAGATGTTGAACATCACGAATTTTCTCTGCACTTTGTNATCATTTCTTCCATATGCTTAGAACCAAGCAAATACAGCTCCAAGAAAAATACACCATATGTTAATTCTACTTTTGTTGGGGATCTGATTAAAGATTCTCTACATGACAATTTAAAAATGATTTTATTTATAATACTAGTTCTTCTATCAAATAAAAAATTTTGTTTAATTGGTTTACCGATGAATTTTACCACATTTTTTTACGTGTTATATTTTTTATCAACCATTGAACCAAACAATACTATATTTACATAAATTATTGTTGAATTATACTAGAGTTCCAGTATCTTTCTAAATATATATATATATCCTTTCTTACATTCTTCCTATATATTTTGGAATTTTTTTGCTAAATTATATTAGCAGTGAGTATTCCCAATGAATTGCAACAGTTAAAAAAAAACCTATAACGATTTTGTTCAAAGCTTAACATTGTTTTTCAACTAGTGTTTACTATATATAAAATAAAAATAGAACATTAGAAAAAGAAATTTATTACCACTTTATGGGTTCGATTCATTCCTAAATCCAAACCTTAACCCAAATTTAAACCAACCAAACCTGTGTAATACCAAATAATGCCAAAGTAAGATATTTGCTTATGAGCAGCTTGATAAGCCGTATGATGTCGAAAAATGGGTTGACTTTAAGCCAAAGATGGGACTTTGTGCCACACAAGTAGCGATACCTAAAATAAAGACGACAATTCGAGAATTGTTTTGCCTATCCCAAGTACAGCTTTAAATTATGAAACAGCCGCCATATCTATGATTATTACTCTGTGTCAATCGACAAAAATGTCCCTTAATTGTGTTTCTATTGCAATCTGCTTTTTTTCCCTTGTCAAATGTTATGCATGCTAAATATTTACAGTATAATTATTGACAAGATAATTTGATCTTTAGATTACCGATGTAATGTACTAACATATTTAAAAATGGAATCCTGAATTTCTTTTCTTTGAATTTGTGTGACAGAATAACAAAGAATATTGTGGTAACAGTAACTTTGTTAGATTTTGGCAATGCGTCAATCAATAAAAAGGGCATCAATTATGATTGCGAAAACAAAACTGTTGAAAATAATGTTTGCTCTTACGTTATAATTCTGGTGGAATGGTGAGACTTGAACCGTGATGGCTCAGGAATAGAGAGCTCGTCTTCTAGCATAATCTAGCTCAACTTTCTAAAGTAAGAAAGATACGAACAGTCCCTGCTTTCTCTGTACTATATACCATTAGATTCTACACTAACTAATATTATCTTGCGTTTGCCATAACATTATTTTGAATTGGTTTTGATGCTATTTAATATTAGATTTTGTATTTTCTTATTTTATCTTGCATTGCATTTTATTTTTGGAGTAAGCAAGGGGAAGATTTGGACAAGAATAATTCGGCAATATAATTTTACTTAATTTCCTGTATTGTTGTGAAGCAGTAAAACATGGAACAATAGTTTTATAATGTCATTCCACGCATTATTTACTTTGCAATACAGAAATATTAAGTAAAATTATATTACAGAATTATGCTACCATCAATTTTCCTCCCTCTTATTCCAAAGTATATTTTATGCCTAGTTCTTTGGAATCAATATTTTTAATTTAATTATTTAAATTTAATTTACATTGAATACTTGAGTTACTAAACTTTTATCGATATCTTTTTCTGTCCTTTATACAATGAGTTTTTTGATAAATGTTTTAGCATTAATTATTTCCAAGTGTTTATTTTTAATTTTAAATGCATGACTAATTTTTTTTTTCTTTCTCTTTTTTTAGAAATGAACCAATTTAATCAATTCGGTAAATATTATTAACTCTAGTCATCTCACAATTTACTCTAGCCAATTGTAATTTTACAATTATCATACATTATATATATTCTGAAATTATGCAAGAAAAAGTTAAATTTAGATTTGAATTGAGTGGAAATTTTAGCGTTAAAAAAAATTTCCTTAAAATTCTTCTAAAATAAAATTTTTCAATTTTCAAGTTGTCATTTTTTAGTATGACTGACACAATAAAGAACATATTTCAAAATATTCAAACTACTTACTTCAAAAAATATTTTCTTCTGTTTCTTTTCTCACTGAAATTAAATAGAGAAATGCTTACGCCTCTTTATGCTTTTAGTATCTGAAATTTTACTTAACTAAACACCTGAAACAAAGCCCAAACGCAAAGTAAAAAGTAAAAAATTTTTCAAAGAGTGAAACCAGGAAAGTATCTAATATTAGGAAAAATGTCTATAATTTTTAATAATGCAAAAATAACTGTTAATACACGTGTCCATGTAATAAAATAATTACATGGACACGTGAGGAATTTTTTGCAATTTGTTAATTATTTGAAGGTGTTTTGTACTAAATCAACAAGCTTAGCTGAAAAATTTACAAAATATTTTAATTTCAAAACCAAAAGAGCAGCAAATATTATATTTTATCTAAATTAAATTTTCGCAAACATATAATTGCGTACAAAAATGAGACGAAAAAGTATAACATTATTTACATCATCTTCATAAAAGCTGACTTTAGTATGAATGATCGAAATTTGACTACAATCAATTATTCCATTGAGAATGTTGCCATAGCAAAATAGATTTTCGTTAAAACAATTCCATTGCCTGTATTTTCCCGATTATATATAATGCTTTATGAACATAAATAGATAGGTTTAAGAAAAAGTATGCGTAATATGTAAAAGTATGCGTATATATTGAAAGATTTTAAACAGAGCTTTTTATAAAAAGAAAATTCAAAAAATTTAGCGGAGACTAGAGTCAAGTTTCTAGTTTTGATGAAATAGCCATTATGCATTTAAAAAATTTGTTTTCTCAAAGAATATACCTGATCTTTCAGTTGAAAATTTAAACAAGATTTTTTTCTACATATGTACTAATATAATTCTTCAGCTAAATTTTAAGTATTAAGCCAAAGAAATTTCTACTATTTTCATTATTTCACAACTTTATTATTTTTAACTTGATAAAAATAGAATATATATGTAAAAATTTTTTCAATTTCTATAAATATAATACAAAAACATATAAATAAAGTACTAATGAAAAAGCTTTACGAAGATATAAAAGTTATTTCACAAAAACAAAAAATTTTATAACATTACTGATATGTTTATTGTAATAATTAAATGAATTATAATATCTGCATATTATTATAAAGTGTTTCTATTCTATGTCTCTAAAATGTTGCGGAAAAACTTTATCCGTTTTTTGTAAAAATAAATACATTTTTCCAAGCAACGGGAAAGTATTTTTACCCGATTTACCAAAAGGTAATGAATGGAGGAAAAAACCCTAGGCCTAAGACTCAAAATTTCGAGCAACCCCTTACATACAAATATCAGGAAAGTTTGAGATGAAAAAAGTTAATTGGATACTTATTGGTTTATAAATTGTTCGTTTCTGAAAGATTTTTAGATTGTATAGAAGCAATATTTGAAATTTTTCAGCAATTATCCACTTTATTTTTATTCATTATGAGAGAATGATGTAGTCTGTTCGTTGCGTTAAACAAAAACAAAAAAACTTTTTTGGGCATGGAACTGTGATTTTATCTAAGCGAGTATATTATTTCAAAATTTTTTTAGTTAATTGTAATAATTATATAAATAAAATTTTCTATAAATAACTATCGGAATATATTTTGAATGATTAGTTTTGTTACGTGATTAAATTTGTATCCTTGTTTGTTTTTTTTTTTTTTTTTTTTTTTTACTGGAAAAGTGAAAAATATGCTCAGTTTCGTTTTGGAAACTGACTTGTACTGATAAGCAAAATGATCTGAAGTGTTATTATTATGTATTAAAAATAATAACTCATGAAATTAATATTTCAGTTGAACTCCCTAAGCTAAGCATAAAGATAGAAAATGTACTGAAGTTCATTTAGAAATACTTAAGAATATTTTATAAATGCATACATCCTTTTCATGATTCATTCATTACATTATTATCAGAAAAATCATTGTTTTGTTTGTTTTTTTTTTTTGTTTTTTTTCTTTTTTCAATTGAAAAAAGCTCCAAAAATATTTCAAGTAGTCCAAAAATTAAAATTAATGTGTTAGGATAAAGCGTCAGATTATATTCTTATGGATGGTGTTTTCTACACTAGGGAGCGCTGCAAGCTCGGGACTGCTTAAATTTTCGGGGTACTGTTTCAGTTGTATTTTAAAGCCATTTGGCATCATTGTGTTTTGAGATTCTTGCAAACAATGCATTTGATTACTTATTACTTATATTTACAATGCTAACAATACTTGTGTTTACAATACTAAAAGTGTTAACACTAACGTAAGATGGTGCACAGCTTACAACACGAACAAACAGTAATAAACAAATGGAAAGAGGCCAAATCAAGACTGCCAAAAAAGCGAGTTATTCAAAGTCTAGCAACCATGTCACCTTTTTTAATAATAAATAACAAAATAACTAAAACAAATTTTCACTCCAAACTCCCCAGAATTACATAATAACATTAATATCTTATGAAATACAGCAGATTTAAGCTCTGAAATTATCTAATTTATTTCTTTTATTGAAAACAAAATTATCCGTTTGAAAACATCGCCTATCAGAATAGCATATAGTAAGCAGCTGCAAACTTTTTAACCGGAACTAGAGTAGGTCCCGAGCTCGAGATTGTTATTGTTTACTTTTCTACTGAAAACACCATCCATACAACTGAGAAATTAGGAACCGGTTCCATCCTCAGATGGCGTATTTGAAAGCCACAAGTGCATTACAATAAATTACCCCATCTACGGGGCGATATCGATTTAGAATGATATTACTATCACAAGATAGTAATATCATTCTAAATCGATATACTTAGATAGATTAATCTTAATCGTTATTTCAAGGTAAACAGCTTGCGTTGACAGCTTAAGCTTGTGTAAGTCTGTAAACAGAATAAAAACCGTGATGTCAAATCCCCTTGAAAACTAAGCTTTTGCTTTTTTTTTTCCTTGTCACTTTCCGATTCAGTTGTTTTACTCTTTCTCCATCTCGCTGGACAAAATAGCCTTGAAATGATTACGGTATCATCTATAGCTCGAATCTTTTTTCCATTCAGTGAGCGACAGCTCTTATGTGTTGACGAATCTGTTAGTTCTCAGTACCAAAAATGTTTTCATACCTTGATATTCCTAATGTCCAGTACACTGAATTGATATCTATTTTGTTTCGAATGGAATCTTGCAGAGATTCTACTACTAAAGTGCTGTTTAATGACATGTCATTTCAAGGCATGGCCGGTATATCATACACATTTTTTAATGACGATGAAAATGATCCACCATCACCTCAAATGTTACATAGAGCAGCTTTGACCGGTAACATTCATCTTCTAAAACGTGCATTAGAAGCAGGAATAAGTGTTGATGTTAAAGATGAGGTACCTGTTATTCTAAAACAATTAGTGTTATGTAATTTGTTTACAAACAGATCGTGTTGTTATTTATTTAATGCCAGGAAGGGAGATAGTAAAAACTTATTGATAGACTACGCTATTTATTTTAAAATAAGCTGCGCTTTTTTTCTTCTTTTTTTTTGTCAGTGCATCTGAAAAAGTATAAATTTAGAAGCAGACGAGATAATTATGTTAAATACATATATATTTTTGATATCTAAAAGCTGTGCAAGAGTTTATTTACAAAAAAAAAATTTTTTTTTTTTGTTATAAAGATGCTTACAGAAAAATTTGTTCAATATAAATATTATAATACCGAATATCTTACCTGTTTCTTTTAAAAAGAAAGGAACTTCATGATTTGAATATGAATTCCTTTTATGCAAATTAATCAGTATTATGAGTATTATACTTCATGTGGAAATTGTGTGAGAAACAAAAAATCATCTTTGAAAGGGATGAGTTCAAAAGGTAACACTCGCAGGTATTCTCAACAAGCTATCTATAATTTATTTTTTTTTCAAATACAATAACTCAACTGTTTTAGTTTGCTTTAACAGCTATCATTGAGAAACTTCCCTACATCCTACTATTTTCAGTTAGGGGTGTGAGGAATAGATTCAAACTTATCACATTTCCTGAGTGCTACAGAAAGTGTCTGCTAGATATAAGACAGGTTCCTTAGTTTTTGCTAATTAAATTTTGCTTTAGTTTAATTAAATTTCCCTTTTTACCTATTATATATATACATTTATAATATATTATAAATATATATTTTTATAAATTTTCCTTTTTAACCTAGTTTTGAACAACTTAAAATACTTTGAGAAAAAGGGTCTTGTTCAGTTGTTGCCTGCTGAACTTCTGGTCTTAAAAATTTTTTAACTGTCGTGTCGATTAATTATGTGTGACCTACTAAGACTTTGAATTATAGAATTTAAAGTAAAGAAGTCACAAACAGCGAGTTTTAAGCCAAAAGAAAGGAGTGTGGAGGTAAAATATCATTTTGAGATCAACGGCATGAATGTAGCTATGTGGTCAACACTCTGCCATTACTTCCCAGAAAAACTCGTAGGATCAATCTGAATCTTGGCAGGCTCTGAGCTGCCACCGATAATAGAACTTTGTATCACTGTATCATCATGGCTTAGTAGATTAATTTCTTTGGAATAAATTTTAATTTATTCTACGTTTGATTTATTTATTTTAATTCTTGCGTGAAATTTAAATCAAATTGTAAATTGATTTAGAAATTGAACATAGCCTCAAGCATTGCAATTTAACATAGCAATTGAACATAGTCAAGCTAAATATTAAAATAATGAAAATTAAATTAATTATTAACCTTTTTTTGAAATTGAATATTTTATTACAAATAATCTTTAAACTCCATACAATTATTGATTAGGAAATTTTATAGAATTGTAAATCATTAAAAATTATTTTCTTTATCTCTGTTTATCAAGCTAACTTTGATTGTTTTGGACTAAAAGTCCCCTTGTAAATCCACAATGACAAAAATCATAAAATAATTAAAGTTATCATGTCATAACTCCAAAAAGCAAGTCTAAACTTATTGCTAGTTTCTACCTTACACTGTGGCATGCAAAAAATGAACTACCAGAGCTAAGACATTTTATTTATTTTATGTTGTTTTTCAGTATTGATAATTTATTTTTAGGGGTTGCAACTAAAAATTAAACAATCCTATTCTACTTTCAAATTTTTTAGCTACTTTCTTTACTAAACTGTCCTTCAATGAAGTAAAGTTTTTTTAGTAAAATTATTATTTATTTTAGGCTGTTTTTTCTTTTTATTTTTTTTTTCTTTCATTTATTTTGCTATATTTTTAATCATATTCTGGTCTCTAAATTTTTTGATATTTTAGGAAGGTACTACAGCTTTAATATTAGCAGCTCGCCATAATAACTATGAATGTGTCAAACTCTTATTACAACATAATGCTGATCCTCAAGCTTCCAGACAAGTAATTTCTTTTGAGTATCTAATTATCTTTATTTATTTATTTTTTATTTTGCTCAAAACATTTTATTACTTTCCTGCTAACTACCTGGCAAGTGATTATGAATATAAGTCACATAAAATAAGGGTGATTTTAGCCTTTTATTTTTGATGTGGTTGAGAAAATTAAATAAGTTATCATTTAAATTTGTATTATATTAGTCCTGAAAGTAATGGGAAAACAAACAACTATTAATGCCTCAAAGCTGTATGTGAATTTACAAGATATCCGCGCACCTGGAAAGACATGAATTTCGGTATTGAGAGAAATTAGTCATGAAATGTCATGATTTTAACTATTTTTTTAAACAAATCATGGAAAGTCATGGATTTAGGTCCCCGAATTGGTCTAATTCTTAAAATCGAATCCCCCTCCCGGTGTTCCAAATATCTGAATTTCTAACAAAATCCCCACTCACAGTCAGTTTTTATTAAAATATAAAATGTTTTTATCATGTTCTTTAAAAATTATGGTGTTTTTTCAAAAAATGAACGAAAAAACATCATTTTTAGAGCGAAATATCTTTTAAACTTCTGTAATTTCAGATTTTATTTTATCAATTTAAAATTATAGCTGAAGCAAGCTAGTCATTGGCAATTTTTTTTAATTCCAAAATGAGAACAGAAAAATCAGGAATATTTCTTTCTTTTTGGATGAATAAGAAAAGCATCTTTAGAATATAATTCTGCGGAGAGAAAAAAAATTGCTTTTGTACATTTTTTTCCAGCTATTTTATTGCTTCAACTCTTTCTTTACTGTTTTTTTTTTTCAATTTAAAGTCTATAAATGTGAAAATGCAGAGTATAACAGTTTTGATTATACTTATCATTTCAATTAATGTTACTATAATGCTTTTTTAAATTTATTGTTTTGTTTTTGTCGCAAAAAATGGTAACTTCCTTAAGTCATGAGAAATTCTTGGAATTAGTCATGGATTTGAAAATCTTAAATGTAGCAGATACCCTGAATTTACAACTTTAAAATTATTCATTACTTCTATTCTTTGTTAAAATCAGTTAGCTCTTATTTACGTAGAAGCAAACTTTTAGACTGAAGGAGTTTTTGTGATAGCAGATGTATACCAGTTAATATTTGGGTACATTATATTGGAAAGGTTTTTGTCAAAATAATGATACACCATATTTTCAAATTGTTAAGTACAATGTTTTCCATCAAAAACACCATGATTTCTATGTAGGAAATAAGATGTTCCCAACTATTGTACTGTTGATAGTAGTTAAAGAGCAGAACAAAGGAATGAAACTGATCACTATTCCAAGCTCTTCATTTGTTATATAAAAGTCAAAAGGAAAATAAAAATTTTCTGCTTTGAAAACATTTTTAATCTTTTTCTTAAATTTATTTCTTAGTAACTGTAAACCTTTGCTTTATAAATTAATTATTTTGATAGTTAAATTAAGAGAAGAAAACTTATTGAAATTAATGTGATGTGAGCATTATGTAAAATATAATATTTCAACAATGCAAGCATCATGCACATTAGAATCAGTGCAAGACAATTACGTAAAAATAAATTTAATTCTTTTAATTTTTAAATTTGCACGCTAGTAGTTTTGTTTTCTTTATGAAAAAATTTTACTAATTTGATTTTTTTTTTTTTTTTTAGACTGGAACAAATAGCCTTTATTTTGCTGCTCAAGGAGGATACCTTCCAATTGTAAGACTTTTACTTGACCATAATGTTAACATCCAAGCAGCAGCAGTAGTGAGTAATTTTATTTACTTTTAAACATGGCTATTTCCTTGTTTAACAGATGGGTGCCCTTCTAAGTAATCTAATAGTACCATAGCTATAAAGGGAATAAAAGAAACTTGTCTATCACATAGGGTTCAATGTTAAGTTTTAGAAAGAAAAAAAATTTTAATGTTTTAGTTTTACTTTACGTAATATTTTTCTGAGAAGTGTAATTGAAGAACCTTTAATATGTATTTCATACTCCTGGAATTTCACATGACCGATACAAAGTATACACATAAAATTATTTCATGTTTTTTATGTATTAAATACATATGAAATTTTTATTTAGTTTTATGATGATTTAAAAATGTTATTAAGCAAATTTTTTAATATTATTGAACAATATTTTAAATTTTAAGCCATTTTAATCTAAATAAAACATTTGTAAACCGACTTATAAACATAAAAAGTTTGATACTATTCTATTTTTTATTAAACTTTCAAGTTTTTTAAGGACTTTCAAATTTTGTTGATTTTAGTGGTGCTCAAATAAGTTACATGACAGCAGGAAATTAGTATGGAACCCCCTCACTCCACAACAATCTGATAAAAAAAAAATTTAACTCGACATTTTGTTGCCCAAATTTTATACTAATAAAATCATGCTCATTTTTATGTTCTTTTGTGCATTATTTAAATATATTGCTTAATATGCAACATTGCATTAAAATATTTTATTTAAATCATTTAAATTTATATAACTTTTATATAGGAATTTTTTTTAAAAACTATTTTGATCTTGACATCAGATTTTTAGTATTTTTATACATTGTCCAAGAGTTGAAATTGCCTTGTTTTAACCACTTACAAATTCAAACATAAGCTAAGATTAAATTTTTTCATAGAATCATTCATTTTTAAAAAAGATTAAAACTAAAAGATTTATTTTTCCTTTTTAGGATGGTGCCACTCCCTTTCTAATGGCATGTCAGTGTAATCATTTGGATATAGTTCAGGAACTTTTTGCACACGATTCTACTTTTGAAGAAAAAATGCTTGTATGATGATAATTTTTTACTACATAAAAAATTACACATAAATGTCTATTTTCATAATTATATTTTTATTTATCATGTAATATTCATTTATCATGTGTAACTGTGTTAGAGAATTTGAGTGGTAGAACTTCTGATGTATTTTCATCACTGAATGGTTTTCCATAGTCAAGCATTTAGTGCTCATAAAATACCAGATTTCGCGAGTAAAGATTTCTTCACTGAAGCAAAAAATATGTGTCTCTTGTAATAAATAATCTAATCAAAAACTATTTATTTACTTAATTTGTTATTAAAATGTATAAAAATATTTAAATGAGCTTATATTTTTAAGTGTGCTAGTACTAATTTTTGAGAACGTAATATTTCAATAACAGATTAATTAAGTTAACTACAAATCTACTACTAGCTTTTATTGACTTTAAACAAACCCTTTTAAATGATTATTTTTCGGTTAGATGAGACACTAGTTTGATTGATCCTAATGCTATTGTATTCTGAGGGGAAATTTCAAATTATATTCTTACTTCCTATTCAATTCACCCATCTTGAGATTGTTATAGCAGTTATTCTAGTGGAAGAAGATTGAACCAAAAGAGAAATGGAGAGTAAGCAAATTAGAATTGTCATATTAGGCTTTTTCTCACTAGCCTTTCAGATTTTAATATCGCTTCAGTTAAGGAAAGCAGTCAAAATCGATACACCAGTAGAAACAGCTGTGTGTTCATGTGCTCTCTCAACAGGAATGCACAGAGCCTTAGATTGTGCTTCTTTTACAAAGACTACACTATTAACATTTACATTTGTATACAACAACAAAATAGTTGATTGGTGTTTTTAATCCCTCACAGTTTACCAAAGAACTAAATAATAGTGAATTTTATTGAAACCAAACCAATAGCAACCGTGTAACAGTTTTCGAATTCTATGCTAATGTATTAGGCAGTTGTAGAAAGAGGGTATCCTTAAAAATAGACTTTATTCTTAACTCTCAATTTAAGCTTGAGATATTAAAAGATTACTGATAATATTAATGATTTTTGTTTACTGAGAAAAGGATTAAATAAGATAATAATTTAATTTTTAGATGTTAGGAAATATGTTATGCATATTTCAATATGACTCTTATGTTGTACCTTTCATTAAAAATGCTAAATTTTAAGCTGCAAATTAAATTAAGAGTGTCAGTATAAGTTCTTGCTCTGAGTAAGGAGTTTTTTAGTGATGCTCTATGTACTAATTAAAAAATATGTTGTTAGAACATACATTTGCTAACATTTTGTTTTATTCAATAAAAATGTATCTTACTTTGTAGGTGGAGCCTATGCCCTTACTTATAGCTGCTGAATATGGTCACTTACCCATAGTTTCATATTTAATATCACGAGGAGCGGATGTAAACCGAAAAAATTATGTAAAAATAATTTCAATATTCTAAATTTAGTGTATAAAATTTATAATCTGTGTTTTAAACATTTAGTATACATTTAAAACCACTTTGAATTAGTTAATAATTTTTTTAAGGAACATTAAATCTTATTCTATCATATCAATTAATATTTTTTGCTAGTTTTAACAGTTACACAATGAATATATTATTTCAAATATATATTTATAAATACATTGACTTCAATGCACATCTAATAAATTGATATAGTGCCAAGTTTTTACTTTGTGTGAAGTGAAAGCAATCGTATAAATAAATCATGTTTGGATCTTTTTTTAAATCAATTTAGTTCATTCGAAAAATCGAAAATCTTATTTAGTCAAAGTATACACTATTTTGTGCAAATTGGTATTGTAGATGAAAATCATAATTAATATATAACTTATATGAATTACAATGTTTTCAAATTAGGATAAAAGTAGTTATTGACTAGTGTTTTACTTTACTCGAATTTATTCCAAGTTTAATTGAGGAATATAATTTTTTTTTCTAAATTGCATTATTGTTATTATTTTTTATTGAATTACAATATCTGTATTGATACATCAATGCAGCTACTGATAAATTACATCAGTTAGTTTTACATTTAAATTACTTAATATTGCTCATATTTTTTTGTTACTTGACTGTTTTTTAATTAGCATATCATTTATCAGTTAGCTATTCATTACTGGTTACCCTGTCAACTAAAATGTTACTAATTTTTTATTTAAGTTTACTTTAATGTAGAAATAAATTAGTTTTTATAACACCTGCCTGGCCATATCTCTAATTTTCTTTATAATATGCTGTGTTAAGATGATTTTATAGTTTAACTGTTCCGTAAACAATAAAATACAATATAAGAAGTTTTTTAAAAATTTGTTCTAGTCCAAAGAAATTCCAAGTATAGTATGATTTCATTTGAAATAATATAAGTAAATTTCTCTGCAGAACAATTTGTGATTTATTGCTGTTGTTAATTCTAAATTAACTTTTGATATCATTTAGTATTAAGAATTGCATTGATTCAATAAGTGTGTAGAAGAAATGAGCAACCTTAACAATGATGTTGCTTTGTTTGAATTTAAATTATAATAGAAAATACTTATTGCGTTATAAATATCAAGTTCATGTCATGAATTCTTTTAAATATTTACAAAGTTTATAGATGTTCAAAAGAATTCTAAAAATGAAAAAAAAAATATGTTTATTTTTAAGAAATGCAGAAGTATATACATTATGTCTAACTCTAAACTTGTTTTTGCAAGTCTACATTTATCAAGAAAAGCTGGTAAATTTTTTTCTGTTTTTTGTTAATTTTGTGATTTAAAATGTTTTTATTTTTAGGAAGGAACAACACCATTATTAATCGCATGTCAAATGGGTCACAGAGCTGTAGTTCAAGAGTTAATCAATGCTGGAGCAAATGTCAACCTTGCAAGAGATGTTAGTAATTTATATATATAATTTTATAGTTGATATCATTTTGTATAAATGTTTAAAAAATCTGATATCGGGTTGTAACAACTATTTTTGTTTTGTTAACTTGTTGCATTAATAAAAACAATAAATAGTTAAAAGTTTTTTTGTACAAGCTGCAAACGCTCTGTTTTTAAAAGCAACAAAAAATTACTATTTTGGGTAAAATTGCTAAGCTTATTTTTCTTAAAACATCTAGCTAATGATAATACTCTAAACTTGTTTAATAAAACTTCTAAGCTGAGAAAACATTTAAAAAAACAACGAATAATAAAAGAAATCTTGTTACTTGATTACTTGTGTAACTGTAGTTAATTCTATTTTAGATATTATTGTATGAAATTCTACTTAAATTTAAACAATATAGGTTTTTATGTATATTTTTTTAAAAGACCTTAAGGTAGTAAAATTTTGCTAACATGTATGTCAGATTAAGCTGAATTTTTACAAAAATAATCTCTATCTGACCGCGTTGAGGACACTGGCAAATTTAAATTTATGAAAATAGTGCTGCAGTTTCACTCCTCAAATTCTGCTACCAGGATTATATTTATTAGAAAAAAATATTCTGTTGCTTTACTGGAATTTTGATAAAGAAAAATTATCAAAGTGATATTTATTTTTTCGGTCATTACTAAAAAGGTTCAATGTACAATATAACATGAGGATAAATAATATTAATTTACCTCTTTTATTTATGTGTTATAAATCTAGTATTTCTTTTTATTTATCAAATAGGATGGCTGTACCCCTTTGTACAAAGCTTCCCATAAAGGTTTCCTACCTGTCGTGAAATTATTGTTATCGAAGGGAGCCAACCATGGTCTTCTACAGGTAACATCAAAAATATGTTTTTTCTTGGCTGTTGTCACATAATATGTCTATAGTTAATGCCACATGTATAGAAAAACCAAATTCATATTTTTCTGTAAGAAATATAAAATTAACTTCCAAATTTTTAACAACTTACAAACTATTGCTACAGAGTCCTTTTTTTATAAACAAAACTGTCTCGATATCTTTTTCCTAATTTAATTAAAAATGAAAGTTTAAAACTGAGAACTAAGCTATAGTTCAAAAAGTGCATCATCTTAAATATCACTAAGACTCGAAATGTTACAGATTCTCAATAGTTTCTATGAAATTTAAACTTTTACTAAAAGAATTTTAACCCATTATGAAAAAAATAACAGATTTTTTATGGGTTTTTATTGCATAATTTATAATAGAAATGCTGCAATATTCCCAAGCAATCCCTTTTTTTTTTTAAATTTATATCATCCCAGCTATGTGTTTGCTAAATATTAAATTTCAATCGTTATTTTTTTCATGTGAACCTGACGCATTTCAAATTATTAAATGTTCTATTTGTACCAGTACAAAACAAAACTATTTGCGTTTCCATTGTTCAAGAGTGTTTTTTTTTTTTTCATTTCTTTTTCTCTATTAGTTTTCAATGTCATCATTTATAAACTTGACTCTATAATGATTTTAGTAATAAAAGTAATCAAAAACAAAAAGATGCAACTAGAGAATGGTAAAAATTTTATAATTTTAGAAGTTTTAAGGGAATAGATGTATAAAAAAAGATTTAAATATAGCAAATGGGACTAAGAGTTCTGAATATTTTAATATTTCATTGTTATAGACATTTATCTTTAGGCTTTTTTTTTCTTTTTTATAAACCTGGTATAAAACCTATTAAAGTTTATTGCTTTTTCTTACTGCATTTGATATCAGCCTTTAATAAAGGAATTGTTTTCAGTTTCTGTTTATGTGATAGCTGTCTCATATTATATTATTTAATAATTTGAGATTAACTGAAAATGGCCTATGGATATACATGTATTTTACATTTCTAGAATGGAGAAAGTCCACTACATGCAGCTGCTTACTTTGGTCACATCAATGTTGTAAAAGCCTTAGTCGAAGCTGGAGCTGATCCTTTTCTTCATAATAATGTAATTTGTATCTTTTATTTAAAATTTTATGCATAGAAATAGTTACAAATGGTATTACTATTGTAGCTTTAAAATATTTTACATTTTTTTTCAGAATTTATTTTGAAATCACCATTTTTAATTAAATAAGCTGTGTTACATAATTAAAGACACAAATAAAGTTTTCTAATTATGTTAACTAAGTAAAGGTGGTTTACTTTTCTAATTGTTGATTATTTTTTTTAATTAATCAACTTTTGGCAATTTGTTTAAATGAACTTTCTTTTTTTTCTTTTTTTCAATTAGCACATTGGTAGATTCTGTTTTTGTAACTATAAATTGCACTACTGGTGTTACTTTTGTTTTTTAAATACAGATCCATACTATTTAATTATGCTAAGAAAAACTTTCAGTTAATTTGTATTAACAAGATTTCATACTCTAAGCAAAACATAGTTCTGGAGTTAACTTTCTATAATTGATTTGTAGAATACTTTTGCTTCTATTTGTATATTCATTTTTGTTATTTCCTAAACAGTGTTCATAAATTTTTTATACTTCTTTCAAGAACTCCAAATTTGTATTGTTATTTGAATGTTTAAAGGAACTGTCATACAACACAGTAAAAAACATATATATAACTGAAGAAAAATTACTGAAGTTGTTTACAGCTGCTTGATCCAAAAAGTAAAAAATTTATACTTGTTTTTATGAAGACCAATTATCTAATTTTGCTTTAACTTAAGATACCACTTGAAAGCACTTGCTGAACGAACACAAAATGAATGAATCACAAGGGAGAAAATGACGACAGCTCATACCCGTACATCCTTACTGATTAATCTGCCACATGTACATTCAATGCGAGCAATGAAACACAATTATGTGAACAAGTAATGTAATCTCACTGGAAAGTATAAAAAGCACAGCAATTTTAAAAATAGTAAAATACCCATATTTCCGGACAGCCTAAAAATATCCCTGCTTTTCACAACTTAAAATTGATAGTGATTCTTTGGTCCCAGCCCACTAAAATTTAACTTGGGCTCCCATAAAATAATCATCAGTGGTTCTCTAGACCAATAATCAATATAATAAAATGATATATTGTCTTTTTTTTTTCGATTTTTGGTTTTAGAATAAGGTATGCATTTTTGTCACAGAATAGCATATATCATAATTTTAACATTAAACAATCCCTGTATCGTAATTTTTAATTTGAATTCACTTAAAACTTTTTTTCTAAAATTAATAAAGCTTTGTAGATTAACTAGTAATGTCTTTTAGTAACTGATATTTTAGTGTCTAAATTTTCTTATGGTTTACCCTTGTTGAAAGTTCCATTAGTATACGTTAGACATCTGCTCTTGGAGGTTTAAAAATTTTCTAGATATTTCAGATTTTTTCATTAAAAGGTTAAATAAACTTATTTCTTGGTAGAAAACAAAACTGAAGGCAGTAAGAAACTTTATAACCTTTTAGTATATTGAATGTTTCAATTGTGTAATATTGATTTTATTTTTCATTTCTTAGTAATAACCTTTATACATTCCTTAACAATTTCAGGCTTATTTGCTCCCACTTGACAAAGCCAAAGAAGGTGGGCGTTTTCTTGTTGCTCAGTATTTGTCAAAGATACCTCAAGTCTAATTTATTCATTCAATTGCTTCTTTGTAAATATGTCACGTACATTATATTTTGTAAATACTTTGTAAATTTTTTGTAAAAATAAATATTTATTGATGAATTTTATAATTTTTTTTCCTACTTGGTTTGCATTATTTTCAAAAAAGTTGTCCAGAAAAATTAATTTTTGTCTTGCCTTTCTGACACAGAGATACTGATACCACTTTGACTATGACTTTATTAACTTTCTTTTTTTTTCTTTTGTCTGTGTGGCTTTAAACTCACACCATAATAATATTTCTTTTGAGCACTGAAAGAGTATAAGACAATTGTAAAATCTGCCAAATTTGATTCTCAAATGAAATAAGTAAATGAAGCCTGTTGAAATTTTAACTTCAACTAACTTTATATTTTTAATAAGTCTGTTAGTAATAAATTAATCATCAAATACTCAGATTGATGATGAAAAGGGAATAAGCAATAGTTAAATCAAAAGATGGGATAAAATTCAATGAATTTACCAACAATTGTGCATTTATAAAAAGCCCAGAGGGCCTTCAGTTGCCGAAGTTGATCATCAAATTCCAGGGAATAGAAACCACATTCATTCAACACTTTCTGGTGAATTTTCAGAAATTTCAAGAACTGTTCTGCTAAAAATTGTCCCCCACCGATGTGAAAATGAAATCTTCACAAAATAGAACTTATTTCACAGACATGTCTTCATTTCAATTAAACTTAAGTATAAACTGACAATAATACAGCTAAAAAAACTAGAAAAAGATTTATGAAAATATATAAATTTATTTCCAATTGTTCGTGCTCACAACACAAATTAAATAATGCAGTTCTATCTATACATGAGTGTTAAAATAAATGCTTACACTTAGTGTTATGTTTTATATGTACAATTTGTATATAAAAAATATCTGATATATATACATTTGATAAAGCTACTGTCAAAATATAATTTAAAATAGTATTGTTCAGTTGCAAAACTGATTATCTCAAATTTTGAAATGCATTTTTGTTAGTTTTTAAAGTTTGTAGTAAATTCAACAGAATCTACACTTGAAAGTCTAGTTTTACTGCAAAACCAACCGTTTCTATATTCACACAATGTCGCTTTTCCTGACTGTTAACACAAAGTTTGCATTATGTTTTGTTTTTTTTTCCCCGACTTCAAAGAAGTTTGTAGCGGTTGTGTCTCTTAATAAATCAAGAAGGAAGAAAAATGATCGTCTGTCGTGGAAAAGGAAAAAAAGTAACAAATCCCAACTATGTATTTTGTTTTCCATGTTTACTTCTGTCAATTTACAACAATTATTGCCGGTTGTTATTTAAACCCTTCATAATAATATTGTTTACTCATCACCAATTATATTTTAGCGACATAGCATCATGTAATGCTACATCATATACAATCATTAATGATCCATTTTCTTTTTAAGTTATAAAAATTCTGTAATTTGAGTCAAAATATGCGATATTATGAATTTTACAATCTTAAAAGTAAGTTTTAAAATATACTGCTATTTTCAAAATTATTTTTTGTTGCTTACTTTTCTGAAGACCTAGTAAAAGTAATTTCCAAATTCTTGTATTGAAACTATTTCAAACTCATAAGAGTAATTTCAAATATAATTCTTTTAAACTATTATTTTAATTTTTTTCAATGTAATTCAGTCTAATTAAACATTTTTGTTTATTTTACAAAATTTAAGTTTTGGTTTGAAGCAATGGTGGCCAAATCCAAAAGAAAACATTGAATATCCCCTTCCCTCCACGTTTTCTTGCTTCTATATATAATGTTATAATACAAATTGTCTAAAAGTCACTTAATTTTTGGATCCTATTTCATTTTGGCAAAATGTTGCATAAAATTAGCTTTCCCAGAAAATTTTATATTTTGGAGATAATCAGTTTTGTAACTGAACCACACAACAAATAAAAATTAAAAGAAAGAGCCTAGTGCAGTGAAAACTATAAGTAATAACTAAAAACTATCTATCATTCTAAAACAAGCAAGCACAAGGATTCTAAAAGCAAACATAAAAAGTTATGTTAGAATTTCCAGTGCTTTTGGTTAATGTATAGAATTTAAACAACTCTTTGATGCCTGAGAAATGAAACTAAGTCTTAAAAAGAAGTCGTATTTTTTATTTCTCAAGAACTTTTTGAATGATTCTGTTCAAATTTTGGATTTTGCCATTTCAAACTAGATAATTTAAAATGGTGTAAAGATTCAAATGCCTTACAATCCAAAAGTGATTCAGCCTTAATTAAATTAAAAAAATAATTAATAAATTGAAAATTATTTTTTGCATTGAACTGTCTTTTGCTAAACAAATTTTACAATTGTAAGCAAAAAAAGTTTTTCATTTTCTTAACTAGTTCTAGAGATATGGCAAAATAAATAAAAAATTAAACTAACAGAAAAAGCGAGCAAATTTTCGACAGCTCTCCTAACTAACTATTGAGACTTTAATTTTCAGATTGTGGCTCTCTGTCTTATTGTGAGAGTCAAGAATTCCAATAAGAAAAGGGTATGTTTATTCTAAAAAGTAATTTTTGAGTATGATTTTGATTTCAAAATATCGTTTGCACAAACTAATAATATTGCTAATAAAACTAGCATATTAGTTTGTGCTAATTTGAAGTATTAATTAACTTCTAGAATGATTACAGTTACATGAATTTAAAATTTGACCACTTCATCAATAGTTGTTATGATTTTTATTTTGCACCCTTACAGGACATTAAGTTTTTACCTGATATGCACAATATGTCATTCATGGATTAAAATGTAAATGAAAAATGATTCGAAGAATTTGTTGCTACTTGTAACTATCTTTCAGGGGACCAAGAACATGATTCATATTACGTTCAAAAACATCAGTATAATATATTTTTGATCTGTTACAAATAAACAAAACCCGAAATTGATTCAGATAGCTTACTTGTGATATAAATATCTGTAAAATACCAGGTTTAAAAGTTGAAATGATCAAACTAGATGTCATTTAACAAAATATCCAAATTCCGTTTCTTTACTTCAAGATTAGGCAAAGAAGCGCATTTTCGTATACATATGGAATTTGAACAATACATATCAACCAATTCATCACATTGATTTACATTTGAAAAAGATTGCTTTTGTGATTCTGGATTGGAAATTCTGTCAAATTCGGGATTGGACTTATAATTATGAATTGAGTTTTTATATTGGTAAGCTAATGTTTTTCTGTGAAGATCGTAGCATATTTTACAAACATAGAAATATGAGTCCCAGCTGCAGCTAAAGGAATGATATCTGTGAAAATTAGAGGTCTTGGATAAACTGTAATATTCATCAGGAATAGCTAATGTTGAGTAAGTTTTCCAATTGTCTTCGATTGTCACGACACTTACAGCAGAAATATGTGACGTAGCTTGTACTGCTTCCCCATCATAGGCTAACTTACGAGATGTTTTGAGAGTACAGTTGTTGAACATTACATTCTTTTTATTACTTTCTTCATCTTCCTATTAAAAAAAATAATAAAACTCTAAGCCTTCAGAAAATGTTTAAAGAAACTACTGTTCATGTGTATAATTTAATATAAAATATATATATTGTATTAAATATTAATTTTTTTTTATCTCTAATAACTTATCATACTAATAAAACCATTTTTTTTTCAAACTTCAACCTTTCTGCTTGCCCAGTTGTTGGATGTAAATTATACACTTTACTAATCCCTCTTTGGTAGATACTTTATTTATGTCCCACTAGAGCTACACAATGGGCTGCTGGCCACAGTCTGGGAAACATCCCTGAGCATGATCCAAAAACATACCCCCACAATTTTGATCTTCTGCAGAAGGGATGTCTCCTCCGCACTCAAACCCTTATAGAAAGGTTACAAAATGCAATTCTAGCAGAAAAAATAGTGTTTAAAACATAGCACACAAAATTAATTATATATGTATTGTGCCCTCATGAAGTTTTCTTATTCCTATACTTAAGCTCTAAGAACATCATTCTCAAATCTTTTTTTTAATATCTTTCACTTTTCATGTTTCATTCTTCTTGAAAGAAGATTTAATGTTTCAAGAAGTCATTTCATCTAAACTTCATAATTTAAGAGAAAAGTATTAAGGTTTTAAATATTATCATTAAAAGGTGCAATCATATGTATTTTACAATTAATCCATTTGGAAAAAGGTACATACCTTAGTTAATATTTGCGATATTGTATGTGTTTTTATTAAACCAAATAATAAAATAAAACCAAAAAGTTTAATCTCATATTTCTTTATAATAATGTATAGAAGTTATCTGAGGATCAAAACTTGATGTAAATATCTCCAATGATACTGATACAGTTGCTTAAGTTATCTTTGTATAATAAAACTTTATATGTTTTTGATTATTTTTAAAAACATAGATAACTAAAAGTTTTAACCTTTATTAGTTAAGAAGTATAAAAAAAAACTTACAACTTTCAGGACATTGTGAGAAAACAAAGTGATTGGACCACTGGGATGGAAGAAACGATAATATAGCAACATGCTAAGCAAACCTTAAAAAAATAATAATTTTCATATAAATTACAATCTTTAAAAATATTTAAATATATATATATAACTCAAACAGTAGCAATTTGAAAGCTAAGCTTTTTTTCACTGTAAATAAAAAGCTATTATAAATAACCTGAATAAAACCTTCTATTTCTCAACATAGTCAGTAAGCACATAACCAAGCGCTTATTATGTTTTACCAATTTATAAAAACCATTTTGCAAAAATCTTAGTTGTTATTTCAGGCAACTTGTCAAAACAGTTCAAAGTGCTTCATAATCAGATTAGTGATGGAAAAGATTTCTCCATCGTGATCTGATTCAGAATAATCGCCAATTCTTGGCAACTTCTGGGTAGTGGCCCCCTAGAAACTAAAAATGAATCCAATCACAGAATGAGACCAACTCGAAGGGTATAACTCGTAGACCCTCCAGACCAACCTCTACATACATTTTTTTTTTTAAATCGGAGTTTTAAATACATTTCACCTTGCCGATTTTGGTTGACACAACAGATAATTATACAGAAATATCCCCAAGTGTTGAGCTCCTATACACTTCTTCATTGCAGTAAACAAATGTAGAGAAGGAATTAAGTTAACTCTGTAGGGAAGATGATTTAACACAACTCATTTAAATTGACGCATAAAAATCTTGTGTTCACCAAGTACCTCAACCTTAAATGTCAGCAGGAGCAAAACTTTTGTCCAAATGACCTCAGTAATCTCAGGATTTTCAATGGTAGGGCAAAATTTTTTTGATGTTAAAATCAGCAAATGTGTAGCAGTACAAAATAAAGCTAGCAGCTTACTGAATCATTGACTGCTTAATGTAACAATGGTTGCACTCCACCTATTTCTACTAGCACTACACAATGGACATGAGTTTCAAAATCGGCCTTGTATATTTGCTAATATAACTTTATCATATAAAACAATTACGTTATCCTAGTTTAATTAAAAGGATGTCAAAAAATTTCAAAATTTAATTAAGAACTCAATCATAAAGAACAATTACCCTACCATAAACTCTTCAAGTAGCATGCTTCAAATTAATCCTTTAAAGTCTATGTGTTTATAAAACGTAGTTATTACATACATTTATGTATCAGTTCTCATCTAAAGTTTGTGCCTATTTCTGTATTTACATGCTCATGCCATTATATGGTATGTAAATCATATGATCTTTTTAAAAATAAACATTGAACAATAAGTTTGGCCTATTCTATCTCAGAGTCTGTTCTCAACTTAATCTGTTTATTAAAAACACAGGGCCTGGTTAACCCATAGACAAAAGCATATACTGAGATCACACATTTCAGAGAACACTATAACATAATGATAAGTAGAAAAATTAGCATTAAAAAATGGAATATCTAACACAATTTTTTAGGAATCAATTCACTCACCTAAAAACATACCACTTGGTACAAAAAAGATGATGAAGTTTTTAAAATAATGATTGTTGGTATTTGTTTTATAAAAAACTAGCAAAAAGATAATGTTTTGAGTTATAGTAAAGGAGTAGAAAAATAGCATTCGATAACGGGACCTTCCTTCCTTTAAATTGAAGAAACAGAAACAATAAACTACTCCAATCACACAGTTATAAAGACGTTCTTCCCACCAACTAGAACAGAAATCTGTATTTTGAAGAAAAATCCATATTGTCATGACAAACCAATGCAAGCCTAAAAAAAATAAACAAATGTTTCATTCACATCACTAAAATGCTGCAACACTAATTCATATGGTGGTACAAAAAGTCTGTTTAAAACATTTTTCTTAAGTTTTCAAAAAAATATTTAATGAAAAAAATCAAATTAATTATTCAAATTTGGAGTCAATATAACTCCTTATAATAAAGAACTCCTATAATAAAGAACTCCTTATAATAAAGATAATAAAGAACTCCTTTCTTAGCATCAAGTTATATTGTTATTTCAAAAATGGTATTATTTTTAACCTATTAGTGATGCTGATTAAGAAACTTTCAACTAATAATACGTTTCTAATGAAATTGCAAAATATTAAATCATACTTCATAGAACTGTGAATATTACTTAGAACTGTTATTATCCAGTATCCAAATGAAACTGCAAATAATACTAAAGAAATAATTCTGGAAGAAACCATTCCAATTCTCCATAATGCCTGAAATAATAAGCCCCACCAAGACAGCTTCTGTTTCTCTGGTCGAACATTACGCATTGCCTTACTGTATGCAGATATGCCCCAACTTAAAGACATAATTGATGCAGCAGCTGAGACGCCTACATTAAAAAATAATAATAAATATTCCAAAAGAAAAATAAATAATATGTACTCAAGTACATTTACATGTTACTAAAACAATTAAATGCAAAATAAAAAATATAAAGCAGTGGTCTGTCCAGACATTTTGTGAAAGGTCCTGTTTTTATAAAATTGTGAAAAAATTATTCATAATTTGTGAATATAAAATAAGCTTTAAGTCACACTCTTTCAATCAGAGTCCTGCTATTGTGAATTTGTGGAATAGGGTCCTGTCATTGCAAAAATTGCTAAAAACCTTTTCAAGAAGTTTTTAAATTGTAAATAGATACAAAATTCTGCTCAACAATTGCTGTTACTAAATTAGAGATGCAACGTACAAATATTTGGTATTTAGCCTATACTGCTCAACACAGAATATTCATTTCGGACGAATAATGGAAACAAAATCACTCACATTTTTAATAATTTAAATTGACATATTTTAAATAACACAACTTAGTAATGTATCACTTTTAATGTATTTCACATTAAGTAAACTTGAACAATTCTTAAATTTATAATATTTTATTTAAAAAATTGCCAGAAATTGATTTTTATTTACATAATATTCCATTAATTAATTTTATGAATAAATATAAATTGATAAATTATTTATTTACAAAAAAAAAATTTATGATTTAATATTAATCATAATGTGCACACGATGTTTGTAAAGGTAGAAATATTTTCTTAGAATACTACATTTGAAATTTAAACTTAGGGAAACTTAGTTTGCCTTGAACCGTCTTTCTCCCCGGGGGAAGGGTTTATATGATTAACAAAACAATAATGAAGATAAACAAATTTGTGAAGGGTCCCATTAAAAAATAAATTATTTTGCGAAGGGTCCGTATTAATGAAAAGATATTTTGTGAAGGGTCCATTTCTAAACAGACCCCTGTAAAGAATGTGGATATGAAGAATGGTAACACACCTGTCCAAGGATTCCAGTCATCAGTAGTAACCATAATATACAACTGCAAAACTAACTGAGGCGCAGATTCAGTGAAGGATTCAAACAATCGCAGCATACACATATCACTTTGCTGTTGATTAAATTTCTGGAAATCCATTTTAGATTGTTTTTTCCTCATTTTAAATCCAAGTTGTAATAATTCAATAAATCTAAGAAAAATACTGGGATACATTAAATAGGCAATAAATACTCCATATGAGTATTATAATTATAATATCACTTTAATTATTATCCATAATCTTATTTAAATTATAGAAACTAATCTTATATAAGTAGTGAACATATTACAGTAAAATATTTTTAAATAGAACACTCTCTGCAGTGAAAATTGTCCACAAAAAAAGAGGTGTCTACAAAGAAGAGAGACTTGCTAATTGTGAAATCTAATATTTTAAACTGTACATAAATATAACATAATTAACTTTAAGCTAATTATTATATATGATATGTAGAGGTAACATAACTATTATATATAATAGTTTAATAAGTAAACTGCACATAAATATAACATAATTAACTTTAAGATAATTATTATACATGATACGTAGAGGTAACATAACTATTATATATAATAGTTAAATAAGCAATAAGTAAACTGTACATAAATATAACATAATTAACTATAAGCTAATTATTATATCTGATATGTAGAGGTAACGTAACTATTATATATGAGAGCTAAATAAATAAATAGAAATATAATGACTTACATAATTATTTGCTTAAAGTAAATAAAATCTAAATGGCTCAAAAAATATGTTAAATGTTCTGCATACATAATTAACATATGTTTTACATTGATCTAACAGGGAATACGATCTAATAGAAGTTTGTTTTATATGATTGAAGCACGCCAGATCTTAGTGAAGCCTTTTCAATTTATTTGAAGTAATTTTAATTCCAATTGCATAAAATTGAATAAACTTTGAAAAGGTAAAAGTGGAGAGACTTGGAATAGTGTGGAATGCTTGCAAGCCATTTAATCAGAGTTTAATGTTAGTCTAGTGACATAAGCTCATAAATTGTATCTTTCAAATTAAATTTGAATAATAATTAATAATGAGTTAATGATGAATAATGATGAATAATATCAAATTCTATTAGTAATATGAAATACACATCTCAAGTACAATAAATGTTGCAAAGACTTATACCTACTTGTAAGGCATCTGTCACCACTATACTGTTCCATCTACTGTAAGGCATCTGAATAGTTGTTGCAAAGCATAAAACAATCATAACTCACAAAAATTAAATCAATCCTTAATGAAAAGACTTACAGAAATGTCAGTTTTTTAATTTCTTTCAGGAAGATTTCAATCAAATCAAAAGGACAACAAGAAGATTTATCTCTCTTTCTCCACCATTTAGTCAGAAAATATATGCAGACTTGTAAAGTGATTTAAAATTCATGTTTTAATGAAATGACAAACAAAAATTTATTTATAAAAATATGAAATGAAGAAATTTAAAAGAGCTTCAATTATGCAAATTACTGTCAAACTAAGAGAGTGTCTGCCTCAGAAAGAGGTATATAATGCTTTATTCACAGAACAGTGCCTGGGATCTGTTGAAAATTAGCCCAAACTGTGGGACCTCTGTTGAACAGTGTCTGCATGTTGAGTTTTTATTATACATTAAACATAACACTGATCATTGACATACGTAGATTATTAATGCATTAATTATCTATTAAAAACTTTCAGATGCAGTAGACTTACTGTGTACTTTTATGCTTATAAAAATTGCATTAAATGTCTTCTTTTATTTATTTTATACATAATATATTCTTTTAACAATTTAATCTTCAATATATTAAAAAAAATTTAATAATAGTGATAACAGGTAATTCTAGCAAAAAAATACTAACATTTACAGAAAAGAAAAATGTTACATAAAAATATAACAAAAAAATAACATCAAATATAGTAATTGCTAATAATTTATTATTTAGAATTTGGTGACTATTTTAAAAAATTCATACACAATAAAAAAGGATGTAAAAAAAATAGCAACATGATCCAATAACAAAAAAATACTCACAATTAATCAACATCTAACTTCAACCTAGTTTTTTTATTATTATTTATTCATAAATATTATTACATAAAAAAGTTAATTAAAAATTTAAGCATATTGAACACTGAAAATTTTGAAATTATTTGAAAAATTTCCATTGATAGCTAGTTTAATTAGTAAGTAAAAAATAAAAGGATACTAAAAAATAAACCATGAAATTTAGAAAATTCCTTCAAAATTGTTTTCAATTTTAATTTTTTGCCAATATTTTATTATTACTAAAAAAAATAATGAATGGAAACATTTCCTTTTATTATTTGAAAAATATTTATGAACTCATTGGTCTAAATTTTGTCTGTACATCTAGTGATTTAAACATATGTGTCAAATCTACTTCTTATGAGTAAATTTTAAAAAAATTTTAGATAATAAATACCGAAAAAGAAACTAAATTATCATGACTGAAAATGTTATTGAACATCTTTTTATTAAAATTTTAATTTTATTGCAATAAACACTTTATTTTCATTCATTATTTAGATTCAATTAACTTATTAGAATTGTTTGTAATCTTTGTTCGTTGATGTAACCTTTCTTAATTTATGTTTTCAAATCTATTTTTCTTAATAAACAATTCCTAGATTTAATTTAAAATCATATTTTTCTGATTACACTAGAATCAATGCACGCCATCAAATTACAGCATACAATTTATGAAATTTACTAATAAATATTTGGTAAAGAACTATTGTTAATTTAATAATATTGAAAATATTACCTGTAAAATAATCCTAATTGAAAAATATGTACAAAACATATAAGTTTTGAAACTCTTTCATCAGCAACAAACCATCTGTAACTAAATGTCTGAACCATTAATGAAGGTACACAAACAAAACTAACAGTCAACAGCATCCAAAAAGTGTGTCCATTTTTATAATACTGGTATACGACAATAACATCTAAAAATGAGATACATGCTGTATTGCAATACTATATTTATGCATAATAAATAAAAATGTAGTGGAAAAACTCAATTTGTTGAATAATAGAGACACAAAAAAGTGTTTTTAAAATTAAGATAAGTATGCAAACCAAATAAATTTTAAATATATTATTTATAAAGGTTATTTTTCCCCTTAGCTAAAACATCATATAAAACATAAACCACGGCTTTCAAAATATAAAATCATTCAGATTTCATAAAAACTTATAATTTATTTAAAAATGTATTTATTTATTTCTCCCTCTTTAAGAAGAAAAACATTGCTTACACAATTTAATTTTCCCGGCCAACAATAACGTTTAGATTGATGACAAAATTATATTAAAGCATTTTTTAATAATGTGTATAGTAGCATCAATTCAATTATTTTGAAAGACAAATAAATTACCTGTTGCAATGTCGACAAGGAATGATCCAAAAGATAATAATAAAAGAAGCAAATCAAAAAGCGTCCATACATTAGACTTTAAACAACATAAAAAACAATTCTGAAAATTAGAGTTCATGTCAATCAAATAACTAAAATTTATTTACAAAACACAACAAAAATATCAATTACTAAAATAATACAACAAAAATTTAAAATTCCCGCTGTATGTAAATAAACAAGCTCAAAACTCATCAGTTCTAAATTTTTTATGGAATTTTTTTTTTTTAATTTTTATTATTTTTAAAAAAACACATTTATTTTTCTTTTTTCATGAAACAAAATATTCATAAATTTATTCTCCAGCTATTAACATTTTATTATTACGATATTTGCTACTAAAAAAAAATTATAAGTTTTTGACAGATAAAGTGACATCTATAGAAATTTCCTTTAACTAAAAAACATGTAATGTCAAAATATTTTTCGCTTCGTTGTTTCTATGTTGCAATAGACATATCCTTATTGAAATTGATAAACAACGGAATATAAAGACGAAGTTTGGATTTCTTTGTCCTTTTTATTTAATTAATTGCGTATTTCCCTTTTCTCAATTACTCTTATCATAAAACTAAATGTTTCAAATATACGATGGATGATGACAGTGTGTTAACTACTTTAAAAATTTTAATTATTGGCGAAAGTGATGTAGGAAAGTCTAGGTATTATTTCAAGTTAATTACTTCTTAATTTAATGTGATAATTTATTGATGATAGATTTTTGTTATTTTTGAAATACATGGTGGTTTTCGTGAATTTTATTAATTTATTTCAAGCTGTATCAGACAGTTTCATGCAGTCTATTAATGTAAATATTTTTATATTTTAGTTTACTTCTTCGATTTACTGATGATGTTTTTGACCCTGGTTTAGCTGCTACTATAGGTAATTTATTGTTTTCTTATCCACATTCATATAAAATTTCAACTGTAACAAAATCGAATTATCTTATTTAATTTGGCCTTGTTTACTACTTTAAATTTGAACCTTGTACATCCAATATTGTTTACTGATTCGCATAAATCTAACATACTTCTATAATAATAAAATTGAATTGTCTGATCCTTTTTTTGCCATTTTATTTACATTTATCACACGAAATTGTTAATAAACTCTAATTAAACATTTTTATATAGGAGTGGATTTCAAAGTTAAAACTGTATCTATTGATGGAAATAAAGCCAAGTTAGCAATATGGGTCTGTATCATGTATTTCTATGTATTGTTAATTCTTATTAATCAAAGATATTGTAATTACGGATTTTGTATTTCAATCCTTTTGCAATTTAAAGATCTCAGATTTACTGCTTCATTCAACAGACGTACAGTCATCATTATGTTAATCTGATTTATATTTAGGGTAAAATAGGCGTGTTAATCTATAATTTTTTTTAAAAAATTTACTTTCTAGTAATTTCTTTGTTAATAAAAATATAAAAGAAGTATAAATAAAATTGCAACCAGCATCTATAATGTGTATGTTAATAGGCTCTTTAAGAAAACAAATTTCTAGTTATTGAGTCAAAGTTATCAGAAATAATTGTTCCATACTCTGGATATATTTTTAATCTTTTTCTGAAGTATTTTTTGTTTTTATTAATTGCACTTTACTAAAAATTCAAAACTCTGGTTATTTCTTAATTGCGGAAATAGTTAATTCAATTTTTGTGTTTACATGCTTTATCTTTTGGTGTAATTATAAAAATTACTTTAAAGTAACTGTATTTGCGTGCAAAATTATTATCATTCATTATTGAATTATTAGTTTCTGCTTTGTCTGCTTATCTTTTATTTATTTGATTGTTTGCGAAGCTTTTAATTTTCTTGGTTACTATGTATGCTAAATTTACTCTGTATGCTAAATAAAGCCCCCTTGTTATAATTAAATTAAAATTCTTAGAAGTTAAACAAATAAACAACTGTAATAAATTTTATAGATTGCTGTAGTGTATATGTATATAACGGAAATATTTACATAACAAATTCTTCAGTGTTTGCCAGAAATTTCCAATGTTTGACTTATATCATTAGATTTCTATAAATTGCAATCTGTATTCTTTACCAAATCGTATTGTTATTATTTTTTTAGTGTTATTTACTTTTATTTAGTTTATAAATTATGTTTAATTTATAAATAATAGGCTGAACGCAATCACATTTGTATTTTTATTATTTAAATTTCTTGCTGCTGGTTTAATAAGTGGTTTTGTGAATGGTCAACAGAAAAATACTTGAATATGTTATTGCAATTTTCTTCATAAAGAAAGATTAAGGATTTTAAGATAAAAAGAATAAATAAGAAAAATATAAGATTTGAAGAATATTACAAGAAATAAGTTATATGGTAAAAACTTCTGCTTTATCTCTGTAAAATTACCTCTCTCTCATATTCTAAAAAATTATTTGATGTCTGTTGAGGAAAAAAAGAAAGGAAAAAAATCCTTTTTTGTAGGTTATTACATAAACAAAGATCTCCCTAAAAATATAAAATGCACGGAGCTTATTCAAAAACAAGCACACCTTCAGCTTTGAAGGCTCTAATCTTAAGAATTATATCTAGATACATTAGTGCTCTACAAATACTCAAATAAATATGAGAAATAATATGTTAAATTAATTTATCTTAAAAGTAGCATATATCATTAATTTTTGTTTTTACATTATAAAAACAAATTTGTGATTGTTGAATTTAATTTGTATTACTATGACATGATGTTATAGTTATTTATTTAACTATGCTGATTAGAATAACTTTTAATTTAAGTAATGTTTTTAACTAATATTAAATATTTTTACCTTGCAGTAAATGGACTTAGCTTCTTCTTTTTATTACATTCAATATAGTTAAAATCTTAGTATACTTGGTTTAAATTCATTATTGATAATATTTATCTTAAAAATATTTTTCTCCCTCCAGGATACTGCTGGTTCTGAAAGATTTAGAACATTAACTCCAAGTTATTATCGTGGAGCGCAAGGGGCTATCTTAGGTAATAAAAATAGATTCAAAATTATGATTTAAACATTTAATGAATAATACAAATAAAACTGATTTCTTCTTTTTTCAGTTTATGATGTCTCTAACAGGCAAAGTTTTCAAAAATTAGACCAATGGTTATATGAACTAGAAACATACTCAACACGTACTAACATTATCAAAATGTTAGTTGGCAATAAAATAGACAAGGTAATATAGTTTTATTATCAGTTTTGATTTTAAATGTCATTAATTAACTGAGAAAAGGGCATCTAAATATGTCTTTTCACATGCTTATTTTTTTTTTTTTTTTTGTCAAATAACTAGTTTTGCCCTTGTTGTTTGATGAAAAAGTGTGCATAAAGAGAAATTTCTATTAAACTCAATTAAATTAGAAGGCTGTGTCAGTTAATAGGCATCATTCATAGCTGCCAACTGTTCAGAATTTTTCGGATTTGTTCCTAATTTTTAAATGAAATCTGATATTTTTATTAAAAATCCGAATTTTCGTAAAATTGCAGTATTTTTGATTTTAAATCAATCCCTTGTTCTTATCGCCGCAAGTGCGCTTCCTGTTATTATTATGCAGAAGTAATTTTTAGTCACTTTTTATTGGAAAATATTATTCCAATAGCTGTTGCTGATCATTTCACTAAATTGAATCTTAAACAACTGTTATTATTTTTAAAAAAATTTATTGTGGTATTTAAACACTTGCATCAGAAATATTTGTTTCTGATGCAGATTATTATTTACCTATGTTTTATAATTTGGAGAATAATAAGTATATATTAATAGGTAATGGTTGTTTTTAAACCATTATATCAGTATTCTTAATTATAAAATATTAATATTTTAAATTTCCCACCAAATATAGTGTTTATAGTTTTGTTTTACTAATTTACACAAGGTATTTAAATATATGTCTATTAATGCTATTATTTAATAGTTACATTTTTGTCTTACTCTTGTAATTGGTAAGAATAATTTTGTCGCATATAGTGTTCCTAATTTTTTATTCCTAAGGTTGGCAGCTATGATCATTATTTATATCTAATTTATCGTAAAAACCACTAAGTGTTTCTGTTACTAACTTCTTAAAATTAGAAATTTTGTATTATTTAAATATTTTGGTATGGCTTAATGTTTTACAGCTCAAAAACTAAGCCTAAGCCAACTACTAAAAACAAGTTCATTTAATTATCGGTTAAAAGATGTTTGCCAAAAGGCTTTTCTTATTTTTTTCGCTAAAGCAAATTAGTAAAGAAAGGCAGCTAACTCAAATTTGCTATATATATATACATGTATGTATATATATATATGCTTATATTATTCTAACAAATTATTGATGCAAAAAATATTAAATTCTATTTTTTATTTAATAAGTTTTTTCAAAAAGAAACTTTGTCTTATAAACCTGCAAATAGCGTAAAAATGTGTAATTATATGTATTTTTTTGTTAAATATTAAATCCATTTCTCTAGAAGTTTATCTGTGCATGGTTTATTTGCTAATTACAATATATTATCATTGTAATTTACAAACGTAATCTCTGTTAATTAAAGTTTACTATTCTAATTTAAATTTTACTTTTAAAAGTTAATTGAGGATAAAATTATTTTAATTTTTTTTCTTATACAACGTCAGTGACTAAGACATGAATGTATTGCATATTTAAAAATTTGCTGTAACTCATGCCCTTAAACCAATTTGTCATATGGACAAGAGGCTATTTTGTTAATAATTCTAGAAAAATAAAAGAAAAATCACATTCTCAAAACTTTTGAAAATCAACAATAAGCTGTTCCTGACAAATGCATTACATAAAAATTCCGGTTGCTAAACACCAATGCATTAAAAGGCTCAGTAATCTCATTAAGACTTTCATAATGCTACTTTTTTCTCGTTATTCAACTTATCCATTATGAAATCAATGTTCCATATAAAGATTATTCTCCTCAGACATATTTCTTAGACCCTTATTTCATTTATTATGGTTGATATATCTGTTTAGATAAATCAGCCAATATTCAATCAATGAATTATATAATTACTATTTACCTTTTAACCTCTGAATGAGTAGTTTTTAGATAAATCTTTGCTTTAATCATGTAGTATAATTTTAATGGAAAATTTTTAACAAAAATTATTTTAAATTTCTTAAATTGAGATTATCGTAAAAGATGACGTTATTTACAAGTTTTTGTTTGTGATTAGGATAACAGGGCTGTGTCTAGAGAAGAAGGGATGAAATATGCACGAAAACATTCAATGCTTTTTATTGAAGCCAGCGCTAAAACTTGTGATGGTGTTCAGTGTGCATTTGAAGAATTGGTTGAAAAGGTAATTGTAAATAGAAAAATATTTTACACTTAATCAGGGTTCGTTGATTTAAATCATGATTAAAATCAAATGATTTTTTTAAAAAAATCATTGATTTAAATCAACTGATTTTTATATATATATTATATTGATTTTAAAAGTTAAAAAACAGTGCTTTAAATTATTGATACTTTTATTATTTTCTTTTCTTAGTTTTAAAATTTATTTTAAATAAATTGCTGCATTAATTAATTTTAGTTAACGAAATTACTTTCTTTCTTGGAGTGTGTTAAACACATTTAAAATTACATGTTTAAAAATCTTTTGATTCTTAACATTGAAAGTACAGATTAAAGTAAATATTTAATGCTGTCTTAATATAGACTTGCATAGCTGTAGAAAGTAAATAAACATGCTTTTTTTTCAAAAAGCAAATGTTAATTAAAATTCTACCTTTTGATTAAAAAAGCATGAAATTCAAATCTACATTATAGTTTATTGATGGAAATTTCTATATTTCTAAAGCTTGAGGTTATATTAAAAAGAAATTACCTTAATATGCCAAAAATAAAAAAAAAAAAAAAAGCTGAGTTCAGATATTTTTTTCCTGATATAGTGTCATTCTTCCCTATCAAAGTCTATTTGAAGCAGTAGGGTTATTAACTGGTTTTTATTTTTCTTCTCATAATATGTTTACGGTATCTTTGAAATTATCAGATTTTCTTTTGTGAAAAAAAATTCCAATGAGTACATAGATTTTTTTAAAAATGTTTTTTAGCTTAACTTATGTATTTTGATAAAGGATTAAAAATGAATATTTTAACATAAAAATATATAGATTGAATATTTATTTTTTGATGAATGACAACATTTATAAACACAATCTGTTGCATTTATTTTGCCATTTCATAAATCATGAGGAAAAAAAAAAGAGATCGCAATTTTAAATTAAAATTATGGTGTGCTAATTGAAACTTTGTGTTACTAATTAAAGTAGTATTTTTCTTAAATTATCTATTTTATCTTTTCTTTTTATTTCAATCATGCCCTTGTATCAAAATGGTCGCTATGCATTATAATGAAAAATTATTTTAGTAAGTTAGAGCTTCTAAAATATTGTTATAATATAGTTTTAATATTAATTTAATTTTGATTAAGCATTTATAAGGTTTTTTTAATCATAAACTAAAGCTCTTATAGTGTAATTGAATAAAAATCAAAAAAATCTGATTTAATTCAAAAAAATCCGATTTAAATCAAAATAATCTGATTTTTTTTATTTTTTTTACGAAAATCAAAAAAAACACAAACCCTGCACTTAATTATAATCACTTAATTACTGAATGGTTCCTTTACAGATAACAATTCTTATACACACCTAAATTTTTTTTACAACTTTTTAAAGTAAATAGATAGGTTTATGGGAATCGTACAGATATTAAGGGCATGTATTATTGAAAAGTGTAATTCGATTTGCCTCGTGTCTGTAAGTAGTACCATCAGTGAATTTAGATATATTATGGGGCATAAAGAAATGAAAAATAGTTAACCTGAGCTAAGAATCTCTAGTGCTGTTGGACTTATCTATTTATTGCATTACAATTTACCTTTTAAAATAGGTAATATATTTAAAAAAATATATACTAAAAGACTTAAATTTTCCTATACCATTTTATTCTGCAAAGCTTTCATTTTAGAATGTAGTTTCCTGTATGTATTCTGTTTTATGGAACTCACTTTTTAAAACTGATTAATGTAGATATTCTTTGTATCATTATATTTTTATTCTATGTTATGGAATATAAATATCATTTAGCTTGAACTTGTAACTCACTATCAACTGCTTCTCTATCTTAATTGCTATATCAACACTAAGTTGGAGGTGGTTCATTTTGATAATATTTATACTTTCATTAAAAAATATTAATTTTAATTTCATTTAATCTGAATTCAATCAATGTTATTGTTTTATTTATAACAGCTAGCCTTAAAAATTTCTGTTTATTATTCTTAAAATATTGACTGTTCAATGGTTAAAATAGACACAAAGAGATTTTATTATTAGAACTATGATGAATCCTTTGAGTAGAAGTTTTCGAAGATTGTAAATGCTTTATGAAATATACACTTTTACTTTTGATTAACCATGTGAAATAATCCATATTTTATCAACTTTTTAAAAATTCATTCAACCACCTAGGATGTCATGCTACTTTTCTTTCATTCAAAGGGAATTCATGATGTTTCACATTTAAAGGGGAGTAACATTAAAAAAAATAGTTTAAATTTATATGTTTATAGATCTATATATATATATATATTTAAGGAATTTTTTAAATCAAATAACTTATTGTCATTAGAAGTTTTTTTTTTTTTTGAAAGTGCAAAAATTTTTGTTACTTACTTTTGAAATGTTTATCGTGAACTTTAAAACAACAAAAATGAGACTAAATTTCATTTAATACTGAAAGTAACAGTTCAGTGCAGACATTCTCATGGGCATTGAAATAACAGTGTGTCTATAGAAGAGCAGAGGGAACTTTTGTTGGCTGTTATAATTAAAGAATCGTTATAATAGACAAAAACAATATGGCAGAGACTCTTAACTGTTTCTTTTTTAAAGTTTGTTTGCCTCACAACAGGCCTTATAAGTAAAGTGATATCAGAAGTGGGGGAAAGGGTTCAACCTGTTCTATCATGTAATGAGCTTTGTTTTTGATTATTTATGTGGAAGAGAAAACATCTTCACTTACTTCAGAACCAGTTTTTGTTTATAATCAGAGCAAAGGAATGCCTTTTATGTGGAAAATATTTGTGTTTTAACTTTAAGCTCGGTTAACAGTTAACTCAGCTACGTAACAAAATTACAATTTGACTAGTTGTCCATTAAAGAGCATTGACTGTATTTGTTTCCCCCTTTTTTTGTTATGTTTTTCATCACCACTTTTCTATCTTGTACTGTACACTAAATATTATGCTAGAGTGTTATACTTTCCTTTCTTTTACTTATTATCAAAGTTTTAAATTATCTTAATGTTAATATGTCCCTGCATCATTCTTAAGTAGATTTTTCTTTCTAGATTTTACAGACACCAGGACTTTGGGAAACAGAGAACCCCCAAGGATTTTCTCTCACAGATGTGTCAAACAGAGCAAATGAGGGAACTTGTACTGGTTACTGTTCCATGATATGATACACTAAAAAGTCCTATGATAGAAGTGATTGATAAATGTGATGTGTTTACTAAAGTCCTTAATAAGAGAACATTATGCATCTGATAATTTAATTATTATGTTCTATATTTATATAATTTCTTCTTACTCTCTTATTTATCTTTTCTTTAAAAAAAAAATGAAGTGTATTATTTGTGCCACTTAGTGTTTGAAATTAAAATATTTTGAAACTCTAGATTGCCTTTAGGTATACTCAGTTATAAGGGTGTGCAACAAATTTAAACAACTAGATTATAATTAATGTTTAGTAAAATAAAAACTATTCACATTATAAATCACAAATTATATTGCAAAAATTTAAATACTTGTATTTATTGTATGTGTTAACTGTTTTAAATTAGAATTTTGGATAAAATAAATGTATTTTTGGTTTAAATTTAGCTCTTAAAAATAAACAAATTCTACTTTTTTATCATCAATGTATAAATGCTCTCAATTGCACTTAGTGGCAAATCTTAATTTTGCTTTGTACTCTGATAGTACATTTCTAGATTTGTATTCATAATGTAGATATTTGCTTTGTTCGCTGCTACTTTTACATTAAAATAGTTGCATAACTTTAGATGCAATAACAATATTTACTAAAAAGCTTTTTAATTAATTGTGTTTTTTTCTTACTTTAAAAATTTAGCATTTAAAAAAATAACAGACCAAACAAAAAGAATTTAGATGTTCTTTTGTTATGTGTTTATTTGTCCATGGATTCCATTTGTTTTAGCCATACATTTTGTTTTGCATTAAAAAAAAATAATAAGTATTGCCAGTTTTTAATATTTTTATATTGTAAGTATTCTTAATACTTTAAATGCCAAGTGATCTTGAACAAAAGTTTTTGCTGAAACAGCCAGTCATCAATTTTAGAATAATTATGCCTGTTCAGAATTTTTAATCTTACCTTTTCAGATAACTTAGCATTTAATGTGTTAATCATTCATGAATGCAGGGTGTCTTTTAAAATCTCATGCATCTATTTTTGTGAGCAAATAAATTAAGATAGAATTTATAAATAATATCAAATATTAATACATTTGTTCTTTATGCAAAAAGAGTTCATTTTGAACAAGATTACTAATTTAAGACTTGCTTTTAAAGTTCAATAATTGAGAATTTTGTAGAACTTGCATATTGTACCAGATGAAAAAGTATTTTACAATAATTCTACCAAATGTATTAAGATACTATTCGTATTTTAACTTCTAATTATTTTTCCACAGCTTATTTTTTTTAATTTTTCTCTGTAAAGATAAATTTTCAAAATAAGAAAAATTTAGGTAGGATAGATCTATCTCTTGCTATATATTTTTTACCCTTAAAGATTTCATAATAGTGCCTAATTTTTAATGATTCTACATAGAAATTTCAACACCATTTTGTGGCACATTAGAGAATTCTAAAATCATTGTAACAGAAAATGCAGTAGTTGTTGCACAAATTTGATATTATATTGATTAGTTTCATATTATTCTACTTTTAAAAAGTAGCATATTTAATATAAGTAATTGTGATGTAAAAAAGAAATAAAGGGCTTCTGCATCAACCAGTTGTTGGCTTAGAAGGTCATAGAGATGAAGGCAATTAAAGGTTTCAAACATCTTTTGGTCAGAATAGATTAACACAAAATTGTGGTAAAATAATATTTTAAAAAATTTCTGATGTAGTAGGGCTTTTTTTTTCGTTTATATTTTACAAATGGAATTGATAAAACCTTAAATGACCACATGATTCATTTTACCCAGAGTGTGAAGAATGTAAAAATCTACTAATTTTGGCAAATGTGTTGTGAAAAGTTAGAACCTTTCTAAGAAGGTTTATATGCCGTACCAACCACACTCACAAGTTAACAGAAACTAAAGAGGTAAAATGGCAAATAATGCATCACATTGAAACTTTCATAAAAATATGCTGGTTTTGCTATATGTGTTAAAAACACCTAGGTTACAAGGAATAAATTTAAAAATAAAAAATAATTCCACTGTCGCCTAATATTTTAAAATTGCATTGAGAATTTATTAGACACCATACAGAAATTAATAAATGAAGTATTATTTTGAATAAGTTGACTTAACATATTGAATAAAAGGTTTAATAGCGAAAACATTTTAACATTTTTAAACAGATTGATTGATTAAGATTGTCTTTTGTTGTATTGTATATATTTTTTTTGTAAATAAAAAAATATCCATAACCATATGAAAATAAATTATCTATGAAAATAAATTGCTTAATTAATCTATCTATGTATTTTTATTTTTGAAAAGCTTAAACATTATTTAACTTTCCTTTCATTTTCTTAAATTCAACAATTTACAGTTCAGCTTCTATATCTCAATTTTTCTCTAATTTAAGAAAATATTGACTTCACCTTAATACCATTACTTGTAGTTTAATTTGTCAATTTTTTAATGTTTTTTACTGTTTTGTTGCAGTGGCATAGAATATAGAATATTCTTTCTTCCTCACTTACTGTACCATATGTATTATCTTGAAGTTATAATGATAGTCTGTTTCCTTTTCAAATTTGTAAATTGAATGGGGGTTTATGTTTCGAAAAACACCTGTTTTAGGAGTGAAGGATGTTGGACAGAGTTCTGGGTAATTGAAGAAATGAGAAACCCTTGACCACATATCATTCAAACAAGTCTTTACTTAAGTGGATGTTTCTGCTCTAGTTCAAAATATTCCAATTACATTAGATAAATTTTTCTTGACATTAAAAATTATTTTAAATTGCTCAGAACTAAAAAAAAAAAATTTATCATTTGGAGAAATTTTTTTCCCTCCTAATAAGTCCCTAAAACAAACAACTTCATATTATATACTATATCAATCTTCTAATGAATGGAAGACTGAATGTAAACAACAACAAGCTTTCTAAGACTAGAAGAAAAATAAAAAACTTTGTGTATCCTTATATTTATGTTATGTTTACGATGCGATGTGCGAACAGTCTTCGTTAATAATTGGATTTTTGCTTAATTTTATTTAGGAGAGTTTTCTGCTACTTATAAATTCTAAAAGGTTGTGTAAGGTAAATTAAATTTGAGAAAATTAATATCAAAATATGAATATGGCATAAGGTTTGATATGCGTTGAGTGTTATCCATTATTTGGCTATAGTTGTGCAAAATACTGTCGTTTTTTTTTGGGGGGGGGGGGGGTTNCTCATCGTGGGGGTAGTATTATAGCATACTTGTGGTGTCTTTCAAATTTGTTTGTTTCATTGATAGTTAATGTGAATGAATGTGTTATAATTGTAAACTCTATAAGTATAATAATGCTAGATGCAATTTTTTTATTTCAAGTTTAGGCGTAAAAATAAATTAGAAGCAGTAACCCAGAAGTCTTGTGTCAAATTTTAACCTGTGCTTAGCTTTAAACGCTTTTCCATCCGTAGAAAGATTTTACTAGATTCAATATTTCATTGCTTTCTCAGTGTTCTCAAGTCAAGTGCTGAAGTCAGATTTCATCTCTAATCTAAACTAAAATAAAAATTAAACAACCCACAATTTTTCTATAGGTCAGAAAAGAGAAAATTATTCTTTTTTTCACCCCTTAAGCAAAATCTAGGATGCATTCCAATTGAGAACAATGGTGATAGAAGTTCATTTGGAAAGTGATGTGCATCATTTTTTTCGCTTTAAGTTTGACAAAAATAGAATTAGTTTCATCTTTTTAGTCCTTGTAAAATGGTGCTTTTGAGTTTTTTTGTTTTATTTATTTATTTGTAGTCTTGACAAAAAGAATGGTTAAAATTTTGAGTTGCGATAAATTGCAACTTTTTTTTTGTAACACTCGAGTCTTAAGAAATAATTGTAACTTTGTCATCAGACATTATCTCCAATTAAAATTTGAGCACTCTAGCTTATCAGAAAATAATCGAAACTCCAATAGCCGATAAACTCTATATGAATTTACATTCTGCTTGTATGAGTCGGGAAACAATTGAAATTCCTATTGTCATTCGTCATTGAGTTCCAGTAAATATTTATATCGATCCAGTAGATATTTATATAGCTTCCAGTGCTATAGATAGTTGAAAAGTGACCGAAATTTCTATTTCATGATTCCATCATCGCAGAGGAAGGCAAGAAAAACGCAGTAAAAATTAGATTTTGTTCTGTAGACTTCTTAAAAATTCCTTAATATATTACTCATTGTCAACCTTACCAAGACTAATTACAGTGATGATCACGTGGGTACAAATTAGAAGTTCATATTTGTCAGTAGTTTAAAACTTCTATCATTTATAAAATTGTCGATTTAGTTCTTGAAAATAAAAAAAAAAGTATTATTTGCTAGTTGTCAAGCTATCAAAGCAAAGAAGCCATCTTCTCTTCTAAGGATCAACATTGTGATGGTATGTCTTCGAAGGCATGTCATGCTCAGGGATGTTTCCCAGACGATTACCAATAACTTAGTGTGCAAGTCTAGTGCGATGTAAATAAAGTACAACTACTACTGAGGTTTAGATTAGATAATTAATTTCTTACTAATTATTTAATTCCTTATCCTAGCCCAACGTAAGTTATACTATTATGAGCGCGCATAGTTACCATAGGAGTTGATATACTTTAAAAGGAAAAAAAAACAAAGATTTAAAATATTTTAGTTTTACATACATTTATGACCTTTTGGTTTAGTTTTACATGCATTTTGTTTATAAACAAAATTTTTCAGCAACTCAAATATGTTAAAAGTCTCAAAAATGGATTTGAATCTTCATTTTTAAACTGTTAGTCTTTCAATCAGAAATCTGTTCAACTTTCGCTATATGTAGTTTATAGTAGATGTTTCTAAAGAAATCTCGACAATGAAAAGTTATAGACATATTTTATTTAAAAAGTAAAAAGGAAGAAAAAAGTCAATTTTCTTACGTTTTTTTTATTTCAAAACAATAACGTTTAATTTCAGCATCTGTTAATTTCCTAGGGGGGAAAAAATTTGAAACTAGTTATACAAAATTTATATTATAAATAATTATATTTTGAAAAGTCTTTTACATTTGTAAAGAATGAAAATCAACTTTTTGAATTAAAATTGCTTATTTTTTTCTCCAATAAAAGTAAGATTAATTTACACAATGCACCTTAAAGTTACTATAATTCATCTTTCCAACTTAAACACGGTTAAAAAACTTATCTTACACAAAAAAAACTTTATTATTCAACAACACAAGCCTAATATCCATGAAAAAAGTTTTAGTAAACGCTTAGGAGAAAACGATTTGATAATTAAAATCGATTGTTAAAATAATTTTTACTGTTAAGTGTTTAAGTGGCATAAAAGATTTTATAACTATCTTTTTAAATTATAATATCTATACATACTTAACACATTTATAATTTCATTTAAAAAATCTAGATAAAATGTGATGTTTCAGTATTTTACTAATTCAGTAATTATTAAAAGTAAAAGGTGTTTTCTTTATTTTAATTGAATCATGTATCACGTGATCATACGTCAAAGAACATAATCTTTCATATTGCTCATTTTATTTAAATTTTGACCATTTTTAGCCCATGACTCAACTTAAGTTCTGGCAATTTCAGATATTTTGAAATGAAAAGTTCAAAAATATTGCCTATCAATGCAACTGAAAAATACAGATTTATAAAAAATAGTTATTTTAAAACTTTTAAGCAGGGAGCTGGAGCTCTAAATTTCCCACTGCTCCTGAGCTCTTTAAGTTTTTAATCAGTCATTTAAATCTTTTTTTTTTTCAGGCTAAGAATTAAAAAAAAGAAAGATTCTTGTGCTTTTAATTTCTAAATGATCTACAAATACAAATAATCTATCTGGTTAATATATTTTTAATTTTGTTTTAAATTGGATTACGTAGTATTTATTTTCTTTCTAATATCTAATAATTATGACATACTTTTTTTTTAAATTTATTATTATAATTAAAAAACTATTTAATAAAAATGTTATTTATTAGTATTTTAATTATATTATTAATTAAGCTTACATGTATAGTAAAATTGTCGGAGCTATAGCTCATTATCTGGAAACGGAGAGTTTGTTAGTTTTCAGACAGATACTGCCTTTTTATGCACAATAATACCTTAAATAATAATATATACTCACCTAAATATTTTGTTAGTAGTAACTATTCCAACTTCAAGTTCAGTGGGTGAAAACTCATCATCTAAAGCATCTGCCAATGCTGAAATCGCTAACTGAATAAAAATACCAATTTTCATTCATATAAAATAGATTAACAAATTAATGATCAATCAATTATAAGCAATTGATTGCCTGTATAATATATACCTTTATAGCTTCTGCTCCAGAGAAAATATTGGATTTTCTAAACGTCTTTTCTAAATATTTCCTTACGTCCATTTCCTTTGCACCTGCGCTTGTGGCTTTATATCCATTATAATGGCCTCCTGGATCGGCTTTATATAATTGTGGTCCTAGCAACTCATCGTAAGAGACAAGCATCATACCTAATAGATAATTAAAATGAAAAAAAATATGTTAGGTTATTACAGATTACATCAAGGACGAAAACTAAAACTCCTCAATTGGTTAATTTTTTTCCTCTAAAATCATCTTAATTTTCTAAAAAAAAAAATCTTTTATTAACTTGGGATAATGTTATTGACACCTGAGGTTTAATTTCCAAATAACTCATTCTTTTACGAATACGATCCTTGGAAATATCTTTTCATACCGTGAAATTTTTGTTTAATGTAATTTTGTAAATAAGAAATTCATCGCATAATTTTCGAGTATCTTCCTAGTAGTCTCTTTAAATAGTGAATTCTTAAATTGTGAGCCCTGAACAAAAGGCTACGTTATTCATTAAAATCATCATCAATTACTATCTGCAATTTCTAATATCAACATATTTATAAACAGTAAATTTTACTCATAGAAATTTTTCTGTTTTAAAAGGAGTTTCTAGTGTAAAATGAATGATTGTACTACATCCATATTGAAATTCTAGTTAAGAAAAGATACGCAATTTTCACTTTACCATTGATACTAATATGAATCTTGTACTTCAGATCACAACCTCCTTTTTGTTAAAGGTCAAATAGTTGTAAATGACTTGTAGGAAGTTTTAAGACCTATACTTTCAAGAATATAATGAGGTAAGAAGTTTTTGACCCATATTAGGAACCGATAATTATTTCTGATAAACTCTATATTAAGTTATATATATTGTAAGGTTACTTTTAGCTTTATATTGTTAGTATATACAGTATAATTAATATTTTATTGTTGAAAAAAATTACTACCAATTTAAAATTTAGAATATGGTTTATTATTGCTTAATTAAAATTTATAGTTTTCACAGATTAAATTTAAACTAAATAAGGTTTTCCCAGTGCTTAAATTATAAAGAAAAAATCCCAATTTTATGTCAACGAAAAACTTGTTTAATATTATTAAACTTTCACTTTTGAAATTTCGCAACTGTGCAGTTTTTCAAATATTGCAGTAACAACGATATTATAAAATAATTTTCTCATCGTTTAGCTACCACTTAATAAATCTTTTAGTACCGCATGAACCCTAATAAAAGTTCGAAATGTATAATAGTTCTGTAAGTATTTAAATATGAAAAAATGCGTTTTAGATTGAATTTTAAAAGATTTTGATTTAAAATTTCATTTACACAAGCTAAAAAGCATATTTATATACACTTTTAGGCAGAAATAATTTTTATGAAAATAGTTCAGCTGTATAACTAATAAATAATGCAAAATTAATGAGGAAAATGTGTGCTTACTTAAGGAAATTTTTCAGGGTTAATTACAATAGTTAATAAGAAAACTATGCAATCATAATTTTTTAAGAAATATGTGGAACGAGCACGGACGTTTTGCTAATAAAATATCATAATGTAAAGTTATAATTTTTTTTTCAAAAGAAGAAAACGCGTGTTTTTTTTTTCCAGGAAAAGATTCTACAAAGAGCAGATTAAGATTTTAAAAATAGTTTTCTTATTCTTAATTTTAAAATTTACTTTTGTACAAAATGAGCTATATACTTGAATAAAAAATAATTAGATAAAAAAATTTTACTAAGTTTATATAGCTGGAAAAAAAATAAAAATATAAAGACTATAAAGTTAGTGAAAGAACAGTTTTTTGCAGCAAACGATTCTATGAATGTCAGATTTTTGGAATATATATAGCAAAAGCAAAGAAATATATAGCAAAAATATATATGATCTCGTCATCAGTCACACGATTTTATTCGCAAAAAGGAGTGATTTCTAATATTGTATAATATAGCCAAAGAAAAATATATCAATACAATAGTGTGAGGAGCACTACAAACGAAAATAGAACACATTAAGTATAAAATAAACGAAATAAAACATATCAAGCAAAAAACAGAAAATAAAATGTATAATATAATCTTCGGTTTTCTCTCTTTTTCTTTTCATTATTTTGTCTTTATTGTGCGATATAATACAAAAAGGATGAATATATGTAGATCGATAAATAGAGATATAAATACTTAACTTTCGTTTTAATTAATATAACAAGTCCATTGTCATAAATTATATTATTAGTTATTCAGTCAAAATATTCTGCTAGGATTTCTGCAATTTTGAACAATGTATTTACCAAAAACTTAATTAAAGAAACAAAATACGCACAGCAAGCTAAAGGTCTCATCTCTGCATTTTGAGTATATATTTGAGATATACCAGCGATTCTTCTACAAAGCCAATCCACTGGTACTTTCTGTTGACCGTATTTATCTCGATAAATGTTTGCCTCATACCGAGCTCTATGCATCTGACTTTGACCATCAGCTAAAATAAGAATCAATTTCTCATAAAAACTTCAAAAAATAAAAATTGAAAGTTTTTAATATACTATTATATAGTTTTTAATATTTCCAAATTTTTGTTAAATAGGAATTAAGATATACATATTTGTAACAAGCGCAGTTTGGCCTAATAATTATATCTTAAGTTGTCGCCGCCTTTAAATTACCGCCATAAATTAATAAGAAAAGATAAATAAACCACTAATCTTGTTATGAGGTTGCTTTAACACATATCTGTCCTGTATTATTTGGATCGCCCTAGACAAAATGCCGGCATTTTTTGATAATCAATTATTTACTGCGATATAAAAATGATTGTTTCGTTATTTGGCTACTTCTAATTGATTGTGAAATGACGAATTTTGTCGTGTGGACAGAAGTGTGTTAATCTCTAATTGAACACCCTTTCTTTTAATTAGAAAGTGAAGTGAATTTTTCTTAATCATTTATTTAAAAAAATCAGCGGAAAAATATTTACTTATTTTAAGACAAAACTAGTATTTGATTCAGCACTAAAATTGTTTATTTAATTTTATGTAATCAGTTATTTAATAATAATAATTACTTGAGAAGGTTAAATTCTATTCAATAATAAAGATACATAAATTAAAGCAGAGAATTCTGAGAACCGTGATACATAAAATTAAAAATTACTCAACATTTTTAAAGATAAAAAAGAAAGTTAATTTAAAAGCTTTTGTTACTTTAAATAATAACAGCGTTTAAAGGGTAAGTTGAAGATTCCTTAATGACTTATTGCCAAAAGGTATTATTAATGTGGTTATGTTTTAAATAAATTATTTAAATTAAAAATACGTACCGTTAAAAAATTAATTAAATTTTTAAAAAAATGGAGCTATTTTCTCTTGTGCGTTATGCGTTCGGTTATTTCATGATTTTTCATCGAGTAGTATTTTTAAACATAGAATGACCGAAATTATAAATTTGTTCATTTATAAGCACAAAAGTTCAAGTTTATGGTCAATTACTTTCAGCAGGTAAAATTTTGAAAATCCAACACACCTTCCTACCAAAAATAAAAAATAGTGTTGAAAATCAAATTAATTTATGGTTATTAATTTATTAAATAAAGGAAGTTTTATTCAGTAAATCAATCACAAAAATATTTTAACATAACTTTATTAGAAAAGAATGGCCCTATAAAGGGTTAACCTCATCCCTGGGAAATAGCAAGTACTTTAGTTGCTACACGTTAACATATTCAAATACTTGCTGTTCACTATTTTATCTTATAGTAATGAAATTTGCAAATGTTATTTTTAAGCGAGCAATTCTGCGTTTGAATATAATATAATAAGTTTGTGTTTCGTTATTTCCGTTTATTTATTTAAGGACCTATATGTATTTTATGTATATGAATATTACAATATTACATTAGTAAATATTTGAAACAGAGGCGGCACATTTAGTTACTATACTATCAAATAAATTTGAAGAAGAAAAAAAAGAAAGAAACATAAATATGTTTTATACGTTACCAGCATATCCTGTAAAAACTGCTCCTATATTTTCAGTTATAGAATACATATGGGTTACTGTATTTAGATCTATCAATGGTTGCTAAAGTAAAAAAAAAAAAAAAATATTTTTATTATTTATCATCTAAACTGTATGCTATATATTTTTATTTTATCTTTGGGAAAAAAATGGAATAAAAAGAAGCTAAATATTCTTATAACTAGCTGTTGCCCGCGCGTAAGATCTATAATTTTAACTATTTTCAAGAACAGCTATTGTCAAAGTTCTCAATGTATTGAATTTTTTTTATGATTTAAAATCTATTCGGCAACCATTGAATCTCACAAACCAATATGAATTTGGGAAATAAGGTAGTAACAGAAATATTAAAATTATTTCCATCTTTTTTGTGAAATAGGATAGAAAACTCTTCCTAATACTCCATTACCTGCTGTATTACTTACAGGCACTCTAGTATTACTTACCCACGCAACTCTTGAGCCATAACTTGAATATTGTAAAATATTTATTCTAATTCTCGAAAAAAGACAAGATCTGTCACCAATAATCGTAGGACAGTATGCGGCACCATAGCACTGTTTATTTTTAAAATTTCTAGATACATTTTTGAAAGGAACGAAAATAAATCTAAATAATTGCTTCGTAATCAAGTTTTTATTTTTATAAAAACGCGAAATTATTCTACATAAATACTTAACGTATAACTAACTATTCAACACTATTTGAACTAACATTTAAGACTACTTAAGGTATCCGACTAGTTCTGACAATTTTTTTTAAAATATTAATGTAAAATTTTAAAAAATTAGTTTATTTATTTTAATGTGTATAAAAACTTATAAAGTCAGCAAAAAAATTATTATTATTATTATTTTCATTTTTATGTATAAGGTATTTTTATGCATATACGGTAAACATTGTAAAACAAATTTTATCGCCTAAAATAAAATCCTTTGAGGTTTTTTTTTTAGAAATCTGTCAACTATGTTGTGAACTATTATCTTAGCAGAAAGTGCATATACTACTGATTTAAGTATCAAGTGCGTTTTTGTGTCTGTCTTCGTAACTTAAAATATCATCTACTATAACTAATTAGCGTATTCCTTCGGGCAATTGAGTTTTAGTGCGTGAAAGTCGTATAATTAATTAATCATTCGTAGACCACATGTTATTCAGGGTGTTTCGTTTATTTTTTTGCGCACTGTACTTTATTTAAAAGTCGCCATTTTAAATTCCTTTAGTAGTGTAAAATTCTAAACTAAAAAATGTGTTTTCAACTATCACTATATATGACCTTATTTTTTAAATTTAATTAAATATTGTTTTCCATTACGTTCTCTGTGCTGAAAAAAGGTGGAAAGGACTTAAGTGGGAAGAAAAAAGAAAAGAAAAGAAGAAAAAGTTTTTTTTTTCACACACACAAAACTCGTTTATTTATTTTTATTTTTTACAAATATTGATACCCAGAAAAAATAATATGATACGTATAGTTTTAATAACTTGGATCTTCCCCATCTACAAATTAAAAACGACATTAATAACGCAATAATGATTAAATAATGGGTGATAATAGTGTACTTACTTTAATTAAATTACTTTTGCTACCCTGACCATCTTTAGTCTTCGTTGATTCTTTCGCAGGAACTGCACTCAAATCATTCTATAGTTGAAAAATTCAAAAATAAAATTTATCAAAATGTGACAACTTATTATCAAGATTAATCTTAATGAAAACGACATTAATCATTCAAAATCAGTTCAATTTTCGAATGAAATGGAAATGTGACTATTAGATACGATAGCTAATACAATATAATCCTACAACCTGATTAAGAATGTTTTTCGCACATTAAATCTATTGTTTCGAGTCTCGATATTTTTATCACTTGTTTCTATAAAAAAAAAAAATGGTAACCGTTCAATAAACTCATAGCTATTTCATTTGTATATATTTAGTGTAGTAACTGCATAAAGAAAGAAATAAAAAATTTGCTACAACTTTAACGACTGCTGATGTCCGACACATCAATACGTTGGGGGCTAAATAATTTTAAAAAATAAAGAAACAGGTCGAAAAATGTAAAACTGAGCACCCGTTTTTAATTTTGCTAATGCAAATAATTATAACTTGTAATTATGATAAATTTATGTATAAGTTTGATTTTCACATACTGTAATGCAATCTTCGTAATTCAAACATTAAATATACAAAAATTGATATATTAATGATCATTTTATGATCTTTTTAATTGTCTAGCATACAGAAAAATTTCCTCCATTTTAACCTTCGAAATTTTAAGTGACAAAAACTAAAATTTGGAAAAATATCGGTTAAATAAGTTTTTGGGAATAAAAATTTGAAAATACGTGAAAATACGTTTGAAATGGCAAAATAAGCAAAAAGGAAATTAATAGTGAAGGGTCTAAACATACGAATGCCGTCATGACCAAATTTATATGGACTGATTTTTCAGGTTGCAACTACCCCTTTATTTTCAGGGTAAATGATTCGAATACTTCGAAAAAGAGCCATTTTTATTCGGAGAACGTACGTTTGTGTGTCTGATTTCGTAATAATTTCGTTTAATAATAACGTGTGAACTATCATCTCAAAATTCTATCAATGAGATACCTTGAAAGTGACGTAGTGTGGATATCTCGATCCTAATTGGTTGTTGAAATGTGGCATTTGTTTACGTTAGCAACTGTTCTTTCCATTCTATTTCGAATGAACCCAGCCCATCAAGTATCAATTCTCTTAAGTGACACATTCTATATTCGTTGACAAAGATTCCTTCTCAAAAATTTCAAATCTTTCCTTATATACATTATTACTTAACACAAAGACAACCACGAAGCCATGTAGAACATAAACAAACTAATTATGGATCGAAGTTGCCAGGTACAGAAGGCAAAAATATATTACGGTTATAATAAAATACATAAACAAATGAAATTAAGTTCTGAGAAAGAATTATATTTCAACAAAGTCGATATGCGATACGGCACTATTTAATTAACATCACGTATCACGTTTAATTAACATTTTAACTTATGTAAAGAAACTTAGCTCAACTTTAACACACCATTTTGCTTTTAAACTATCAGGTGGCGCTGACGCCATTGATCGTGTGTGCAGGTATAAGTGCAAGTTCCAAACTTTAGGAATAATTAGCATATTTAAATATTTAAGGTTTAGTGTATCACAAACCATTAAGATCGTAACTTAGTATATTAAAATCTGACCGTTAAATAAAAAAAATTATTAAAGTGCTCTCTTTTTCATTTAGGGCAATTTACTTTTTAAAAAAATCTTTTAATAAAAATGTTTTTAAATTGAAACAATTCTGAAAACTTGACTGTTTCAAAAATACTTAAGACCTCAACCGAAATTCAAACGGAAGACGTTTTCTGCCTAGATTCAAACGGTAAACGTTTTTTGGCCATCTGTTTTTCTGAAGATGAGCTGAGCTGGTTTTAAAACCAACTGCGTCGTTGACCCGTAATCTTTAAAAATATATATTTCTATAAATACCTATATACGTTCTAAGAAAGTAACGGAAATAATTCATATACCTCATATTACTAGCGTTGAACAACTGATCCATATCTGTTTTACGGATGCCAGTGATCAACTCCAAGGCCGTGCAATTTTGAAAATAGCCCAGAAGACAAAAGAACTCCTGGGTCAAGTATTGGAATGAACGTGGATCAGGGAGTGGACGTTTTTGAGGGTAGCTAAACCACATTTGTTTTACACAACGAAATTCTTTTAAACCTCTTATGAAAACCTTCAATGGCTAGCCCGATCCTGAAGGGATTCTTTCCTAAGATTCGAATATTAATTAGGTCATTCCCCACCAGGACTGTGGTCAGTCCTGCTATAAGTGCACCAGCTAGCACCGGGATTCGAAAAATTTTAATAGAGAACGTTCTCTCCTATCCCCAGTACACTTACGGCTCTATCCTACATATATATGGAATTATGCATAATAAATTGCCAATAAATTAGATAAATTTAAGAAATAAGGATTTTTACTCATTGAGTGGAATATTTGTCATTCGCCTTTGACTTACATCAGGAATTTTCTTTTGAGTAACCAAAACGGCAATATCCTTGCCTTTTAGACCTACTGAAGTTATTTCTGGCACAGTTATTGCTTTAAATGCATATTCTGAAAATAAAAATTTAAATTATAATTATTTAAACGGAAAAAATATGATTGTTGGATTGAAATACATGGTTCACTCACGGTAAGTGTGATAAAAATAAGTAAATTTTCAGTTTCATTTTTGTTCTAATGAATTGGCATAAAAAAGAGAAGAAAAAAAAACTGCAATTTGTATCTGTATATTCATAGACTGAAAATATTGAATTTAAATCAGTGATTACATTTATGGTTTAGCCCTTAGTTGTAGCATGATACAATTATATTTTTTTTTCGTCGGAAAAACTCTGTTTTTCCCCCCTTTTAAAGAAAATAGTTGTTTATTTTGTTTTAAGTTTATACAATATGGGTAGATATTCAACTAATTTTAAAACTTCAAAATGTCTTATACAATTTTAAGAGCAGTTTTGTAGTAGTAAAGAGTATTTTTCTGTATTTAACAGAAGTACAGTGCGCCCAAAAAAAAAAAAAAAAAAAAAAAAACGGACTAACTTTAATAACTTTTGAATCTAACGATCGGATCTTACAAGTTCTATGACAGTAGTTAATGCAAATTGGCGAACAACAACACGTGAGATCGGTGACAGGTAAAATTTATACAATTCAACTGTTTATGACGACTTAAAAGGCCTGGGTTTAATCTCGAAATATGGGTTCCCGATGTTCTCACAGAGAGATTTTTTGGGTCGTAGCGTTGACGTCTGTGATTCGCTTCTCAAACGTCACGAAAATGATTCATTTTTGAAGCACATCATTACTGGGGACGAAAAATGGGTTGTCTACAACAGGGCTGTCCAACTGGCGGCCCGCGGGCCGCACCTGGCCCGCCAGCACATATTGTGCGGCCCGCCAACTTCTTATTCAGGCTGATCGCCCTCAGTTTTCCCATTAAAATGTAAGCAAATTGTTTTATAATCTTCTGTTCCATTGTTTTATAATTAATAGTTCAACTATTAATTGTTATTGTATAAGAGGTAAGAGATTATTGTTCAACTTTTTCAAACTGCGGCCCGCCAGGTGATCAGTGACCGGAATTCTGGCCCGTGGGCTCTTTGCAGTTGGACAGCCCTGGTCTACAACAATGTCAAACGCAAGAGATCATGGAGCAAAAAAGATGAACCAGCTCAAAGCATTTCGAAAGCCAATATCCATCAAAAAAAGGTGATGCTGTCTGTTTGGTGGGATTTTAAAGGAATACTTTTTTTTGGAGCTTTTAACGGATAACACAACACTTAATTCGGAAGTCTACTGTCGTCAGCTGGACAAACTGAATGATGCTCTTCAACTGAAAAGGCCAGAATGAATCAACAGAACAGGTATAGTGTTCCACCAAGATAATGCGAGACCTCATGCAAGTTTGGTCACTCGCCAAAAGCTTTTACAGCTTGAATGGGATACAATGCCACACCACCATATTCTCCAGATCTGGCGCCGTCGGATTATTATTTGTTCCGGTCACTACAAAATGTTTTGGACTGTAAAACCTTTACTTCAAATAAAGAGGTCAAAAATCACATGGATCAGTTTTTAGCCAGCAAAGACCAAAAATTTTATGAGCGTGGAATCATGCTACTACCAATAAGATAGCAAAAAATGTTGGACCAGAAAGGCCAATGAATACTTTTAATAAAATATTTATTCATTTTACGAAAATTGTCTTTCACCCCCCCCCCCCAAAAAAAAAAAANCCCCCCCCCAAAAAAAAAACGAAATTACTTTCCGAACAACCCAATAGCTTGATTTTCAGCCCTTTTGCACACTGTAAAATATTTTGAAAGTGTTTTCTTTTCTATACATACCAGCCACGAAACTCTAAAAACTCAAATAATTATATGAAAGATGATTTGAACCATATTCCTTGCCTTTATGATCTTTCATTGTAATTAAAAAGTTTTACCAATGAGGCTGAAAACAATTATATTTTTACTTTCACTTTTAAAGACTTACTTAGATTTTTACTCACACTTTTTGGAAGTTATATACAAACAGAAAAATATCTCTTAAAATATTATTACTTAGTTGATAAAATTACACCAAATTTTGTCCATTATATTGGACGCTGGGTCACAGAAGGATATGCCGTTTTAACATACTTCTCGTACGCAAATTCACTGTATCAGTTTTGTCCTATTATAATGTGCGAGACCATTTTTGTACTATCTCTAAAAAAAAATTTTTTTTTAATTAAGCTTTTAACTTACCTACTTGATACAGACGCCCTTCTTGCGAAAATATTGTAATATGTCTATCGAACCCAGGATTGGAACCTCTTGACATAGTGACAGAAAGAATGAAACCTTCTGAAAATCACCATTTTACAGCATGGGAAAAATTAGCCTCCCATAACCTTTTACTTACTAGCAGATAAGGTGCTGGATACTTTGTTTAACATCATGACGATAGTTTCCTGATAAGATAAAATAATGAGTATAGATAGAGGCGCTGGCATCGACAATAATTGGGTAGGGAATTAATCTCGTTTCACTTTTGCTGTTATTTAAAAGTGAAAATATTTAAAAATCGGTAAAATCTGTGATTGCTTTGTATTTTTCGCAATTTTTTAAGTCAATATTTCTTACAAAAGCAAAGAACATTTTTTTAAATATATTATGCAATTTTCTATAAAAACTTGTTAATCATAAATGAAAGATTACAAGGAAATGGAAGATTGTAAAAATATTGCACAGAGCAAATTTCTTGAATTGAGTTTTTTATATTTTAAAAATTTCTTTATGATTGTTAAAAATCAACTCTTGTAACACGTTTTCCTTCTCTCGCGTTTTTTTTCTTTCAAACTTTTGATATCAAAACAACTACTTTTGATATCAAAATTTGTACGATTTTATGGAATAAAAATTTCGAAAGACAAATAATTCTTAAACTAATGAATGTTAAGACTCTTTATTACATGATACCTGCAAACCTTTTTTTGGCATTTTTGTAAAATTTAAGTTTGGTAGTGCCTGCGCAATAAAACAAAACATAACACTAAGTTGAACATCAAAAACATTTTTTTTTTCCTACATGGAGGGAAGGATATCGAAATCAAGGATTATGCACTTAAAAATGAAATCTTGCAGCTCAAAATATTTGAAGAAAAAAAAAAATTAAAAACTAACTTTCTATATTAATCAATGTTGTAAGGGAAACATGGAAGTAGGAATTATTTTAATCTTTTTTATGCCATAACATTTATTTAGTTAATGAGCACCAGATTATAGAATACAGCATGATATAAAGCAAAATCAAAAAATTTTTCTGTTTATCAGCTATTTGTAAATTAATTAAAGGAAAGTTAACATTGATATTATATCTCTTTATACTTTCCATTCTAACATTTAAATGTTTTCATAAAATGGCAATTAATTGAGGTAAAGACAAAAATTTTGACAGAAATTAAAAAAAGGCAAAGCATAATAAAAAAACTAAAATATTAAAAAAAAAACTAACAGACGAAACAACGAAGAGAAACGCACTCGGTTAGTTCAGATTATAAACTCAAACTGAATTTATTTAAGAGTTTTTGCTTAGATTCAAAATTCACGATTGCCAATCTTCAGTCCCAACGACTGTTCAAATCAAAGTCTTCAAAAATAAATAAAAAATAACTTTTTCTTTAACTTTAAAAATGATTTTTTGTCATTATTTCACACCACAATGCAGGAATGGGATTGACTGAACTTCTACATACATTCTACATGCTAAATTCTTATTGTTGAAACTGCTTGAATTTGCATTTTATCTCGAGATTTTAAGATGCTCATTTATTTTTCAAAAAATTAAATTTTTAGATCTAGGGCAAAACATTAAAGATGAAGTGAAAAATAAGTAGATATGAAAAGACTTTATAGTGTAAGGGCTTAGTAGTGTATTTCAGAGACTGGTGCATAAAGATTTGAGGTTATTTTTATTTCGTTTGGTGTAAAAAATAAACTAAGAAACAAAATAAGTTAAGGATATATAGTTTGTTTACCCTAAAAACTCCTCCCGCCACAAAGTCTGAGGCCGTCTGGTGCTATAGAAACCAGAATGGCACATTTTAGGGAGGGTAACTTCACTCTAGGACCAACACAATAGACCGAAGAAAGAGATTACCTTTCTCTCGCCGAAACCACTCCAAAACAGTGACCCCGTAGCCCTACTTGAAATAGTCATACCACGTTACCATAGTCACCGCCACAGGTCCAGATGAATGTCTGGGGGAGTTATTAAAACAATATGTGGAGCCTTTTACTAATAATATGTGGGCCACTCTCATGTAAAGTGAGTCATGAATCATTGAAAAATTCTGCTAAATAATGCTACGCAATGTTAGCTGGTGAAAAAATAAATTCATTTTTGAAATCTTTCTTTCCATGGTAATTTTTCCTCAGTAATTCACACAATTACAGTTGACATTTCTTCAGATATTTCACATCTGCTGCATAGATAACACATTCTAATAACATTTTTCTCGTGAGGCAAACAACTCTCAAATAAGGGAATATTAACCCACTTTTTACATTCTTATAAAAAGGATAATTCATAATTTAAGTAAAGAATATTAATGTTGATAATTGCATAAGATAAACTATCAAAAAATTTAAATTGCAAATTTTATTGTGTCAGCAAAAAATTATTTTAGTAAAAAGTGAACCACAGTCGCTCTTATTTGTTTCCTTAAGACTTTTATAGCAGCAAATATTTAAAGCTCAGATCATTTGAACTTTCTTATTTGAAAATCCTTTTCATCAAAATGAAATTTCCACAATCATATGCACTTGAATAAAGCATGTTTTAGAAGTAGATATTTAATATATGGAAAATAAGATAACCAAGCAGATTTTTTATGATACACTACATTAAATATGAAATACCAGAGAAGTGAACATTAGCTTTTAGCAACCTCTCTAACCAATCAAATGTGTAAGATTATGCTTCTAAATACAGATCATTTCTTAAAAAAATATAAAATAGTTTTTTTTTTCAAAAACAATTCTTACCATGGTGAAAATTCCAAATAAAGCAGCTAATTGCTGTACTAATGTATAACATAATAAGAGAATCAAAACGTAAATTTTTTTCTGGGATATGTCCCATAGTTTCACAATTAAGATCAAGCGATGTAGCAATTTCAACTCAAATTAATACATTCGAAATAAAAATTGCTATGGTTAGATAGACTATGGCTCGATATCCGAAGTCTATAGAGCTGCTATGAGGCAAGATTCCACTCTAAAATATATTGTGGTAGTCCTGGCAGTTTTAATCATAGTACTTTTCCAAATGTTAAAACAATCTAATGTAGAGTTCTTCAAAACGTTGTGCCTAATGCAGAGATTCCAACTGCTCCGTTTTCAGCAAAATTTGTAATAAACTGGCAGCAAATTAAATAGTAAAACTTGTAGAATGAGGTTAATTACTCATTAAAAGGGCCACCACGAGATAGCAGCAATAATGTTGCATCTGTTTTGATATGTAGTGGTGGCAAAATTACTCAATATGAGCAGTATGAAACTAAAAATAATTTTGTTACCACTAGAAAATATTCTTTTCCTAAGTGTAGCATGTTGACATTTCAGCTAAAGTTGTAGCATGTAAGTAACAAACATTAAGTATGTGGTACCAGTTTTTTTTGCAGCAAACAAAAGTTCTCAGCAGATGATTTTGATATATTGTCATAGTCAACAACTTTCACTGTCAGAGGTATCAAATAAAATATATTTTAAATACAAATATATTTGTAAAAAAAAATCTGGCACATATATCTCAGAAAAAATGGGATCTCAATTTGGTGACACTTTTTTAAATTTTACACAGTTTTCTTGTTTGTAAGTATAGTCTAATTATACATATTAGACTATTAATGGAATGAATGGAATACATATTAGATTATTAATCTATGGGGAATAATTAAAACTTATTCCCCAATTAGACATTAAAACATTGTCTTGAAATTAATTAAATACTTTTTCAGTGATAGCAAAAACATGTGATATTTCGGTTCATTATATGAAATGTGGCCAACTAAAAAGCAGATGAGAGTTTGACAGTCAAATACAAAAGCGAATGTTTAAAATTTGTAAAAAGAAAGTTTAAAATTGTACAAAATTTTAATTGCAAACACTAGAAATGAGACGTAAGGTAAGTAAACTTATATCAACAATGTCATTTTTATAGAAAGTTTATTTATTTCATTAAAATAAAAAGGACAAATATTCATAAAGTTAGCACATTCCAACACTAGTCTTTTTCGGCTATGGCGGTTAAGTGTTCCTCAATTTCTTTTTCAGTCAATTTCCTAAAAAGATAAATAACACCCAGATACATTTAAATATGCAGTATAAGAATAAAAGATATGAAACATAATTAAAAGAAAACCTATCTCAATTATACAATTTTTGCTCCATTTAAGATTAAAACAAAACAAATTTTCTTGAACTACAACGATACAAAAGCTAGATATGAATTTTTCTTTTAGGATAAAAGTAAAACCAGCAATTTAAAGGATTAAAAATTTATAAAAAAAATTCAAATAGCTTGTTACCTTTTTATAAGGGATTTTCAGAACTAAAAACAAATATACCTTATGAAATTTTCTAAACTTTCATTTCATTTTTGTGTCACAAAAATGAAATAAAAGTTTAGAAACCTATAAAACTAATTTTTTATTTTAAGAAACGTTAAACACCAAAACTGAATAACATTGTTCAAAAAGTATTTATGTAATTTTTATATACAACTCAAAAAATAATGCCCACATCAAAAACACATTTATTTAATAATGCTCTTTAAACATCTCACAAAGATTATACAAAATGTAATTAGGTGCCACTCTTCAGTCCTGGGTCTGAAATCAGTCTTGAGAGAAAAAAATCAGTAGACTAAATTTCATCAATAAATACCTTTTTCCCATTTGTTTTTTAAATTAAATTTCTTTTTTTCCTTAAAATGTAATATATTTGCTGTTAAAAATAAATATATTTTAATGAAAACATTGTTATTTTTCATAATTATTGCCAAATGATGTCACACTGCAATGGAAATTCATAAATAGAATAGAAAAATGAGCACCTGTTTGTTTAAGCAAAATTTGTAATATTGCTGTGTCTAAATTTGCTTAAAATTTCTTTTTTCTCAACGTTTTGAAATGCTGGCCAATGTTGAATTAAGATTATTTTTTCTTTCAATTTATAGAGAGAGTACAAAATATAAATAATGGTGAACAAAAAAATAAGCAGAGATGAATGAATAGATTAATGAAAAAATAAGTGGTTCATTATTCAGTGAAAAGAGGTACAAGGTTAGCTCCTTTATTTTTATCTTGTTTGCTGTAAAAAAAAAATTTTAAAAAAATGAAAAGAAACATTTTAAATAAAATAATAAATTCCTAGTCGATTATGATATATGAGAAAATGATTAAAATATGAGCCATCATCATAGAGAGGTACATTTTAGAGTTAGTGAGCAATATATTTTGGAAAATTCTGATAAACAATACTAGAGCTTGTTAATTGGTCAAAACTAAATTCAGTTTTAAAACGTTCTTAGAGTGCCACCTATGTCCGGGTGACAATGACTCTCCAGCTCTTAACATTTAGAATTCTAAAACCTTATTCAACTGCATCGATCCATCACAGTTTAGGATGTCCTCTTTTTCTTTGTCACGACGGCTTTGCCAAAATGAGCCTTTTTACAGGGTTTAAATCATGCACCCTGAAAACATGTTATATTTTCTTTTACTCTTCCCTAACAGATAAAATCTTTCACTCAAAAATGTACAAATAGGACCCATTATATCTTATTATATCATTGTCTTTACAGTGATAAGACTAAAATTGGTCTAATGAGAGTTTTTATATAACAAAAATTTCGTTTTTCTACAAATTAACTGTGACTTAAAAATATTTCGTAGACTGCAAAAAAATTTATTGGCAGACATCCTGTATCTTTATTTTAGGTAAAATACTATCTTGACACTTTTAAATCTAGTCTTAGCTTTAAATACTTAGAATTAGATATTAATAATTGTCAAACTATGTACTAGTACCTAATAGTAAGTACATACGTAGTGCAATAGGAGCACTATTGCATATTGTAAACTTATACATTATTTATGAAAGAAAAATTTAATTTTTGAAGATAAGTCTTAATTTTTCAAAATTAAAAAAAAAAAAATGGTCTTGGGCATATTAATTAAATATGAGTTTTTGTTTAAGCAATTCAATAAAAAAAAATTTCCATTGTACCAACATAAAAATGGTTGTACATGTCACAACTGTTAAATTGTCAAGCTTCTCAGGAAAAATAAATTTTTATAAACTAGATGGCAATCCCTACTTTTTATATTTATAGGAATAAAAACTATTTTTTTCACGAAACCTAAAATTTGAATTATAAATGCATCACGAAGGTTTTCATACTTCAGCTCTTCTAAATAAAAATATTTTTAATAGTAAATATGGACCTCACCACATTTTATTACGGAAAGTAAATAACTGAAAACACATCTTACCTAAACTTTTGGCTCTCAGTTGTAACAACACCAACTTCAAGTTCAGTAGGCTTGAATTCAGCAGATAATACATTGGCAAGAGCAGAAATTGCCAACTGAAATACAATAAATAAGTATCATTATAACTAATATCATTATACTATTCTGCAGTTAAGAATTAAGATGAGAAATACCTGTATAGCTTCATTTCCTTCATAAGTTGTCTTTTTCTTAAACTTTTTCTCTAAGTAGCTGTTTGCTTCAGTTTGTTTAACACCAACACTTGTAGCTCGGTAGCCACAGTAATATCCTGCCGGATCAGCTTTATATAATTGTGGACCTTGCGTTTTATCATAAGCAATAAGCATCATGCCTAAAAGTAACACAGCATAAATTTGTAGACTATGACAAGCAAATAAAATCTCTTTCTAACAACATACATAGAGCTTTAAAACAGTGAGCAATAATTAAAAATAGAAGCTGCTTTATTGCATTTAGTAAAAATATTGCATGTACGGTTGGCATATACTTTTTAATACAAAACACAAAGAAAAATGCCTTTTTAACTGTGTACATTTTAGGCTCTCTCATGAATACAAAAGACTCATAAAAAATTAATTAGTAATTCTTTGACTTTTGGTCATCATTAGGTCTCACTGGAAAAAATTCTTGATCTGTCACCACCTTAAAATGTTCAAGAAAATCTGAAAATACAATTACATTTATCTACAATATATGCAGGGATGAGATTAGCCAAAAGGCAAAAAAGCTGAATATCCACGATAATAAATTTTACGCGAGCGCAACCCTTTAATAATAAATTCCAGACAGTTTAAGGTAATAAATAATGTGTTGACATATAATTGTGTACTAATCTAAAAACCCGTTTGCA